GTGCACACTTGCATGTCTGCCACAGCTGTGAAGGGTCTGATGGTCCTATGCAGGTGGTTTCTGGTGTTTGGAGGAAGACTAGGGGTCACAGAAGACAGAGGTACTACTAGGGGAGTGGAAGCAAGCAAACTGATCTCTAAAATGGGGTAAGCTGGCCGGGCATGGTGGTTCACACCAGTAATCACAGCACTTTGGGAGGCCAAGGCAGGAGGATCGCTTGAGCTTAGGAATTCAAGACCAGCCCAGGCAAAACGGGAAAAGCCTTTATCAAAAAAAAAAAAAAAAAAAAAAAAAAAACTTCTTTTTTTTTTTTTGAGACGGAGTCTCGCTCTGCCGCCCAGGCTGGAGTGCAGTGGCCGGATCTCAGCTCACTGCAAGCTCCGCCTCCCGGGTTCACGCCATTCTCCTGCCTCCGCCTCCCGAGTAGCTGGGACTACAGGCGCCCGCCACCTCGCCCGGCTAGTTTTTTGTATTTTTTAGTAGAGACGGGGTTTCACCATGTTAACCAGGATGGTCTCGATCTCCTGACCTCGTGATCCGCCCGTCTCGGCCTCCCAAAGTGCTGGGATTACAGGCTTGAGCCACCGCGCCCGGCCCAAAAACTTCTAAAAATTAGCCAGGTGTGGTGGTGCATGTCTGTAGTTTCAGCTACTCAGGAGATTGAGGCAGGAGAATCACTTTAGCCTGAGGGGTGTCAAGGCTGCAGTGAGCCAAGGTAGTCCCACTGCACTCCAGCCTGGGTGGCAGAATGAGACCCTGTCTCAAAAAATAAAAAAAATAAAAAAAAATAAAATAAAGTGAGTTGACTTATTACAGTTAGGGCTTTTGTGCCTGGCAGAAGCCTTAGTCTAGCCCTTTCATTCTACACAAAGGGAAACCATCCCAGAACAGAGAAGCAAACCGAGCAGAATCCTCAGAACAGGCCATGTGCGGTGGCTCACGTCTGTAATCCCAGCGCTCTGGGAGGCTGAGGCAGGCAGATCACCTGAGGTCAGGAGTTCAAGACCAGCTTGGCCAACATGGTGAAACCCTGTCTCTACTAAAAATAAAATATTAGCGGCCGGGCGCGGTGGCTCAAGCCTGTAATCCCAGCACTTTGGGAGGCCGAGACGGGCGGATCACGAGGTCAGGAGATCGTAGACCATCCTGGCTAACACGGTGAAACCTCGTCTCTACTAAAAAATACAAAAAACTAGCCGGGCGTGGTGGCGGGCGCCTGTAGTCCCAGCTACTTGGGAGGCTGAGGCAGGAGAATGGCGTGAACCCAGGAGGCGGAGCTTGCAGTGAGCTGAGATCCGGCCACTGCACTCTAGCCTGAGCGACAGAGCGAGACTCCGTCTCCAAAAAAAAAAAAAAAATAAAATAAAATAAAATAAAATAAAATAAAATATTAGCTGGGTGTGGTGGCATGCGCCTATAGTCCCAGCTACTCAGGAGACTGAGGCAGGAGAATCGCTCGAACCCAGGAGGCAGAGGTTGCAGTGAGCTGAGATTGTACCACTGCATTCTAGCCTGGGTGAAAGAGGAAGATTGCATGTCCAAAAAATAATAATAATAAAAAAGAATCCCTGGAACAGAGCCACACAGTGAGTCAGCCATGGGCAGAGATGAGCTTGCCTCCTGCCTCCTGGGTCAGTGCTCCTCTGCCTCCTCCTTTGCCTTCCCCCAGGTGCCCAGTGCTCTTATACCATCCACTTTGGCTGCCCAGGATTGGGCTGGAGATTGGGGCCAAAGGAAAGCTACAGAAAAATCTTGCGGCTGGAGTCCTGCTCTCTGACCAGTCAAACCTTGTATTCTGCACAGCTTCTTCCTTCTGCAGAGAGCGTAGGGGTGGTAGCTGATCCATTACCCAGCCCTTCTAGACTCTGCTTATGCATCTGCTCTGTCCAGAGTGCCCTCCCCATCTTCCATCTTCCTTCTCGTGGCAAACTCATTCTTATCCTTCAAAGCCTTAGCCCAGCCCCACCTTCTCCAGCAAGCTCCCTTCTCGACTGCGCGCTCCTGCTATGCTCACAGAGCATCCAGGACTCACTGCCACTGTCTCTGTCGCTCACTGCGGCAGCCTGGGGAGCCTGTGATTGTGCCCACCTTTCCCCCTGCACTGTAAGCTTCTCAATAGCAGGGACTTTCTTGTCCATCACGTATCCCCACCTTCCAGCAGAAATATTAGATTTTCACCTGCACAGTTTCATTTTATGCTCACAACAACCCTATGAGGTAGCCATGAGAAAACAAGGAGAGAGGAAGCAACTTGCCCACACACAGAGGTAGCAAGAAGTTGATATGAAATTGTGTCCAGACTGTTATTTCAGTCTTGGCTGTGGGCTACTATGACCCCAGGCTCTCGGTGAAAGTTTGTTGAATGACTTAAGGGTCTTATTTCTTTCTCTGTGGCCAGATTAAGCACTTAGAGTTGGACGGTGGTGGGGAACCAATACTTCTACCACAATAACCTTTACTGAGGGCTTACTATGGGACAGACACTGTGCTTGGCATTTGACATATACTCTGTTAATTTTCCATCGCTGCTGAAACAAAGTCTCACAAGCTTGTTGGCTTAAAAGAACATGACTTTATTTTCTTACAGTTCCAGACATCAGAAGTCTGAAATCTGTTTCACTGGGCTAAAACTAAGGTATTGGCGGGCCCATATTCCTTCTGGAAGCTCTAGGGAAAAGTTCATTTATTTGCCCTTTCCAACTTCTAGAGGCTGGCTACATTCCTTGGCTCATGGCCCTTTCCTCTGTCTTCAAAGCCAGCAGTGTATTCTCTTCTCTCCTCTCTGGCGTCTGTTTCCATCCTTACATTTTGTGTCCCTCTGGGCTTGATCCTCTGGCCTCCCTCTTATAAGGATTCTTGTGATGACATTGAGCCCTCCTGAATAATCCAGGATAATCTCTCCACCTTGAGGTCCTTAACTTAACCACACCTGCGGAGTCCTTTTTACCATGTAAAGTAGCATATTCGCAGGTTCTGGGTATTAGGATATGGACATCTTTTGGGGACTATTATTCAGGCTACCACAGACATCATCACATTTAATCCTTGTACATTAATGCTGCAACAGAGGTGTTATGATTGGCTTCACCGAATAGACTTGGAAAGCACACGGCATATGACGGGCCCTTGATGCATGTTGATGGGGCTGATCTGGTGTGAGAGTTGATTGACAACATGTCCTCCTCCCTGTACAGCAGGCCTTGGAGGATGTGTCTAGTTCTGTGTCTTCCCTCAAGTCTTCTCCCACAGTCCTCTCCACTGGGGACAGATAGAAACTGTCAGAGTGTCTGACACTTAGACACTTAATTGTCCCACTTGGGGTCACTTTGTCTCCCCAGTGAAATCACAGTCTCCTTCTGTGTAAAGACCAACTCTCATATACTACTAATTATTTGGCCCTTTATACAGTGCCACAAGTTTTTGCAGACATCATTTTTTTCCTTTTAGTCCTTGCAAGGACTGTCCATTTTACCGAAGAGCAAAGTGAGGCTCTGGCGAGATGCACAGTCAGTTTTTAATGGTGCTGGTTGATGAACCCTGCCTCGCTCCAGATCCTTTATCTCATGGTACCCACCATGAGGGACTTTCTGCACCCTCAGCAGCCTCTCACCCACTGGCTCAGCTCTGCACTTGACTGAATTTTCTTACATCTTTAGCTTCCTCTTAACCTTTTGATACTCTTACTGTGGCATGCTCAAGCACACACACACACACACACAAACAGACACAAAACTACCCCAGCCCCCAGAACATTTCCAACACTGGTGTCTTTACACAGCCCTTACCCACCCATCCCCATTTATATTTCATCTGCAAAATGCTCATCTGAGCCGCTTCCCATTCTTTCTCCTGCACACACAGTCACCACTAGACTTGCACATCCCCCACAGCACAGCTCCCAGAGCCTTCATAGATGACAGGAGTTTCACCTAAGCTTACTTTCTGTAGAAACACCTTGTGATCACCCTGTCAGTGATTATGAGCTTCAGGTCTGGAATCAGCCTGGGGGTTGGAATCTGGGCTTTGTCATGTGTCAACTGTGTGACTTTTGGAAAGTGGATTAATTCATGAGCACCATTTCCTCGTCTGAAGTGAGGAGTAATAACCATGCTTTTCTCACCTCAGGGGCAGATGCTATTTTTTAGGCAAGATTTGCTGAGAGGTCCCAGTTTCTTATTGCTGCCCTTCTCTGCCATAACTCTTCTCCCCTCGTAGACAGCTCCACTCCTCCAGCCTGCTGCTTCTTGACCCCAATTCTCTGGAAGGGGAGTGACATCAGTTGTATGCTTGAGGTGGGTATTTTAGCTGCTATGACTCTTCCCAGGGCAATTTCTCTTCAAAGTCTCATTTCTAATCACAGACAGGAGGCCCAGGACACCTGCTAATGAGAATTAGTTCATGGGTGACCAGATGAAGGAGGCACTGGGAGAGGGGAACTCCCCATATCTCTGGTGTCTCAGCAAATAGATAACCATCATTCCAGCCCTCCTTTTGTTTTCTTTCTTTCTTTCTTTCTTTCTTTCTTTCTTTCTTTCTTTCTTTCTTTCTCTCTTTCTTTCTTTCTCTCTTTTTCTTTCTTTCTCTCTCTCTTTCTTTCTCTCTCTCTTTCTTTCTCTCTCTCTCTCTTTCTTTCTTTCTTTCTTTCTTTCTTTAGTCTTGCTCTGTCACCCAGGTTGGAGTGCAGTGGTGTGATCTCAGCTCACTGCAACCTCCTGAGCAGCTGGGACTACAAGCATGTGCCACGATGCCCAGCTAATTTTTGTATTTTTAGTAGAGACGGGGTTTCACCATGTTAGCCAGGATGGTCTTGATCTCCTGACCCTGTGATCTGCCCGCCTTGGCCTCCCAAAGTGTTGGGATTACAGGCAAGAGCCATCACGCCCAGCCCATCCTTTTGTTTTCTATCCTGTGTTGGCTTGGTGGGGGAGAGGAGGTGTTGACACCTGGAGGACACACATATAAAGCATTCCTGGGTGACTTCGTCATCACTGGGCCCTGTCTCTCAAAATTCCAGCGAAATCTGCTCTTCCCTTTAAGGGGTGAAAGAAGGGTCAGCATTCCAGAAGTTCCTGGTCATACCCAGGCTTGTAATGAGCTGCCACTGGGGAATCAGCAACCCGTTGCTGTAAGGGCTATAGGATGAGGGGTTGTGAGAGCATAGGGAAGGGTCTCAGAGGTCTCTTGTCCCTGCTCGAGGCAGGTCTTTCTGGCCTGAAAATCCCGTCGAAGAGAGCAGCTCTTAAAAGAGTTTGCTCCAAGTTCCCCGGACGCTCAGCACCACGGACAGCGGCCAGGGCGCCCTGAGGACCCGCGAGCAGGTGCTGCGCTACATGCGGGCCAGGGAACTCGCGCGTGGAGGGAAGGGGAGACACGCCGTGGGTGGCGGGGTGTTGGCCGGGGTTGTTTTCGCTCTGAGTCACCCTGTGCGCCCCGCGCTCACGTCGGGCCTCTGAACGCCGGGGTTCTCCCTGCCTTTTCCAGCAACGGTGGGTGGGGAGGCAAGACGCAAGCGCCAACCTAGGACACCCAGGCTTTTGCAGGAAAGGAAGAAGCGGGAGACGTGGACTTGTCTGTGTCTCCAGCGCGTTCCTGCCCCCTGCCCAACCTGGCCCATTTCTATACAAGGTCGGCTCTGCCCGGTCTCCACCTCCCGCGTCGCAGGCGCGGAGGGGCTCATTCCCGGGCCCTGATCTCAGCGGCCCGGAATGTGGCTGATAAATCAGAGATAACCCTGCAGGGCAGGGCGGGCGGACACTCAGCTCCAGGATAAAAGGCCACGGTATCCCGAGGAGCCAGGAGGAGCACCCGCAGGCTGAGGGCAGGTGGGAAGCAAACCCGGACACATCGCAGCAGCAGCCGCAACAGCAGCAGCAGCAGCCTCCGCAGTCCCTCCAGAGACATGGATCCCCAGACAGCACCTTCCCGGGTGCTCCTGCTTCTGCTCTTCTTGCACCTGGCTCTCCCGGGAGGTCGTTCCCACCCGCTGGGCAGCCCCGGTTCGGCCTCGGACTTGGAAACGTCTGAGTTACAGGTGACAGCGGAGGGCAACTCAGGGGGAATGGACAGCAGCAATGAAAGGGTCCTCACCTGCTGTCCCAAGAGGCCTTCACCTTTCCTTTGGAATTAGTGATAAAGGAATCAGAAAATGGAGAGACTGGGTGCCATGACCCTGTACCAAGGCAGTCAGTTCACTTGGGTGCCATGAAGGGTAAGTGAGCCCAGGAGTGGGTCCCTGAGGCTTGGACTCCCTATTCCATTGCAGGAGCAGCGCAACCATTTGCAAGGCAAACTCTCAGAGCTGCAGGTGGAGCAGACATCCCTGGAGCCCCTCCAGGAGAGCCCCCGTCCCACAGGCGTCTGGAAGGCCCAGGAGGCAGCCACTGAGGGCATCCGTGGCCACCGCAAAATGGTCCTGTACACCCTGCGGGCACCGCGAAGCCCCAAGATGGTGCGAGGGTCTGGCTGCTTTGGGAGGAAGATGGACAGGATCAGCTCCTCCAGCGGCCTGGGCTGCAAAGGTGAGCAACCCTTGCCAACCTGGCCGCCTGCCCCCATTCCAGTGTGTGACACTTTTAGAGTCACTTTGGGGTTTGTTGTCTCTGGGAACCACACTCTTTGAGAAAAGGTCACCTGGACATCACTTCCTCTTGTTAATAGCCTTCAGGGCCAAGGGGTGCCTTTGTGGAATTAGTAAATGTGGGCCTTTTTCATTACCATGCCCGCAATACTTTCTCCTCACCTCCTACCTCTTATCAAAGGGGCAGAATCTCCTTTGGGGTCTGTTTATCATTTGGCAGCCCCTCAGTGGTGCAGAAAGAGAACCAAACATCTCCTCCTGGTTTCCTCTAAACTGTCTATAGTCTCAAAGGCAGAGAGCAGGATCACCAGAGCGATGATAATCCCCAATTTACAGATGAGGAAACTGAGGCTCAGAGAGTTGCATTAAGCTTCAAACGTCTGATGACTAACAGGGTGGCGGGTGGTACACGGTGAGGGAAGCTCAGCCCCTGCCTCCATCTCCCACCCTAACCATCATCACCCTCTGTCTTTCCCTGACAGTGCTGAGGCGACATTAAGAGGAAGTCCTGGCTGCAGACACCTGCTTCTGATTCCACAAGGAGCTTTTTCCTCAACCCTGTGGCCATCTTTGAAGTGACTCTATTTTTTTTTAATGTATTTATGTATTTATTTGATTGTTTTATATAAGATGGTTTCTTACCTTTGAGCACAAAATGTCCATGGTGAAATAAAGTCAACATTATAAGCTTTATCTTTTGAAACGGATTTGTCTTGGCGCATTAAAAATAATCCCTAATTTCAAAGAAACCAACCCAAAAAAACCCACAAAGCCCTGTGATCTCAAGGCACCGTCACGGTGGGATGGGGACATGGCCTCAAGGGTAGCAGGCTTTCTTTTCTTTCAGAGTTTTTAATGCTCTGAAATGTTATTAAATATCTCAAGTACTTGAGGCACTTGGGAGAAACTGCTTTTCAAAGCAGGGCAGTTTCTTCCTGGGTGTGGAACGGCCCTGACGTATGTGTGCAACCTGAGGGCATGTATCCAGCCATTTTCTCCACTCGTCCTTGCTCTGCCTGGAATTCCACCATTAAAGCACTCTCCCTGGGGATTATTGCTTTCAGGTCTCAGCTAAAATGTCAGTGACTGGGGGCAGTGTGTGTGTGTGTGGCTCATCTACATTCCCATTCGGGGGTGAGCCCTCCATCCTGCCCCAAATATCAGCTTTGAAACTCCAATTCCTGGGATCATCCTGCAAAGGAGCCTTCAAAACTCCAACCCACAAAATGAGAGGGGTCTGGTGATCGGCCCAGCTTTCCAGGGTGCTCCTCCCCTGGGGCTGCATCATCTCTTCTTCTCTTTGCCTTAACCAGTGGGGAGGCCATCTCCCCTGTGGGTCCCCTTCCCCCACACCCTGCAATCCAGGCCTCCCACAGTGCCGAGTTCCTCTCCTTTCAGATTCCTGGGAAGGTCCTCATGTCATTCCCTTTCTTACAATGCCATTTATAATGCCAGCTCAGCTGAGGGGTAAGGCATCATGAGGTCCACTATTATTATGCCCATTTTCCAAATGGGAAAACAGACCCAGGAAAACCAAGCGTCCTATCCAAGAGCACACAGCAATGAAGCGCTGGTGCTGGGAACTGAGCGGAGATCCAGGTGACTCTCGAGCCTGCGCTCTCCAACTCTTGAGCCCCACGCTCCTGGCCTTGAATTTCACTCTCAAGTCCTTTCTGATGTTCTCATCGGATGTTTCTTTGAATGAGAGGAACCTAGAGGGTGGGCCTTTGTGTTATTTATCATTTTAACCCACTGTGCATCTGAGGATTTATGGATATCTAATGACGTCAATTAAGATTGTTTAGACTGGGCGCAGCGGCTCACGCCTGTAATCCCAGAACTTTGGGAGGCCGAGGCCAGTGGATCACCTGAGGTCAGGAGTTCGAGACCAGCCTGGCCAACACGGTGAAACCTCGTCTGTACTAAAAATACAAAAATTAGCCCGGCATGGTGGTGTGTGCCTGTAATCCCAGCTACTCAGGAGGCTGAGGCAGGAGAATCACTTGAATCTGAGAGGTGGAGTTTGCAGTGAGCTAAGATTGCACTATTGCACTCCAGCCTGGGCAACAAGAGTGAAACTCCATAGTCTCAAAAAAAAAAAATTACTCAAAAGTGAGGTTTTAGGCCAGGGACGGTGGTTCACACTGTAATCCCAGCACTTTGAAAGGCTAAGGCAGAAGGATGATTTGAGCCCAGGAGTTCAAGACCAGCCTGGGCAACATAATGGGACCCCCATATCTTCAAGACATGAAAATGAAAAAAATCATCTGGGCGTGGTGGTGCATGCCTGTGGTTCCAGCTACTCGGGAGGCTGAGGTGGGAGGATTGCTTAAGCCTGGAAGTGGGGAGGCTGCAGTGAGCTGTGATTGCGCCACTGTACTCCAGCCTGGGGACAGAGGGAGATCCTGTCTCAAAAAAACAAACAAAAAAAGAGAATAAAATAAATAAAAATGAGGTTTTAGGAGCAACTTATTTTTTCACCAACTGTGAGTCATGTCTAATGTTTTCGACCCGGGGAGAGCAATGAGTAATTAGAATAGTTAACATTCGGCCGGGCGCGGTGGCTCACGTCTGTAATCCCAGCACTTTGGGAGGCCGAGGTGGGCAGATCATGAGGTCAGGAGATCGAGACCATCCTGGCTAACACGGTGAAACCTTGTCTCTACTAAAAATACAAAGAAATAGCTGGGCGTGGTGGCAGGCGCCTGTAGTCCCAGCTACATGGGAGACTGAGGCAGGAGAATGGCGTGAACCTGGGAGGCGGAGCTTGCAGTGAGCCGAGATGGTGCCACTGCACTCCAGCCTGGGGGACAGAGAGAAACTCTATCTCAAAAAAAAAAAAAAAAAGAATAGTTAATATTCATAAAGTCTTCATTCATGTACCAGGCACAGTCATACAGTCCTCACAACAACAAATGAGTTAAAACTTTTTTTTTGAGACAGCTCTCACTGTCATCCAGGCTGAAGTGCAGTGGTGCAATCTCGGCTCACTACAACATCCGACTCCTGGGTTCAAGCGATTCTCTTGCCTCAACCTCCTGAGTAGCTGGGACTACAGGCATGCACCACCACCCCCAGCTAATTTTTGTATTTTTTGTAGAGATGGGGTTTCACCATGTCGGCCAGGCTGGTCTCGAACTCCTAGCCTCAAGTGATCCACCTGCCTCGGCCTCCCGAAGTGCTGGGATTACAGGCATGAACCACCGTGCCTGGCCTGGAGTTAAAACTCTTACATCCCTCATTTTACAGATAGGGAAACCAAGGCACAGAGAGATTATATAACTTTCTCAACGTCATGTAGTTAGCAAGTGACAGAGCCACGATTCGAGGACCCTAACCACTGTCCCACCCAGCTTTTTCCAAGCCAGTGAATGAGGCTTGTGGGTGAGGTGGAGGTCCCCCTCCTAGTGGCACCACTCAGTTCAACTGCTGGTGACCTTTCCCCTCTGCTCAGGTGATGAGGACACACCCCTCCCAAAATACTCACTCTCCACACCCAGTCAGCACTTTCAAACTGCTGCAGATGACTCTGGTTCATCCATAAATGGGGCTGAGATGGTGGAGGCTGTACATGCCATACATTCTGTTACTTGGGTCCTTTCCCCAAGCAAGGAAAGAGGACCCCAAAGTGACCTGTGAAGGAGCCAAATGTGACAGTTGGAGCTGGGTAGGGGTAGTGGGCTTCCTGCTGTACCCAGTGAGTGACGTCTCGTCAAGCTCTCCACGTGGTTGGTGTTTGCAGGCAGCTTTGTGGTACATACACTCTCTGTGGCTGCCCTTAAAACCAGCCCTCCCTAACTTTTCCCCACGTAGCTGTAGCCATGGCCTTAACCTCCCTGACTCCTTGTTACCAACTTTGTCTCCCAAAGAAGCTGCCAAATGGTTTATCTCTATAGACACTTTTTTTTTTTTCTTGAGACAGAGTTCTCTGTTGCTCAGGCTGGAGTGCAGTGGCATGAATACAGCTCACTGCAGCCTCAACCTCTCAGGCTCAAGCAATCCTCCCACCTCAGTCTTCCAAGTAACTGGGACCACAGGCTTATGTACCATGCCTGGCTAATTTTCTTTTTTTTTTTTTTTTTTACTTTTAATTTTTTGTAGAGATGGGGTTTCACCAGGTTGCCCAGGCTGGAGTCAAGCTCCGGGGCTCAAGCAATACTCCCACTTTGGCCTCCCAAAGTGCTGGGATTACAGGTGAGCCACTGTGCCCAGCCTTACAATTGTTATTTTATTTTTTATTTATTAATTATTTTTTGAGACAGTCTTGCCTTGCTGCCCAGGCCGCAGTGCAGTGGCATGACCTTGGCTCCCTGCAACCTCTGCCTCCTGGGTTCAAGCAATTGTCCTGCCTCAGCCTCCTGAGTAGTTGGAACTACAGGCGTGCACCACCACACTTGGCTATTTTTTATTTTATTTTATTTTTTTTACTTTTTTTTTATTTTTAGTGGAGACGGGGTTTCACTGTGTTGGCCAGGTAGGCCTTGAACTCCTGACCTCAAATGATCCACCTGCCTCAGCCTCCCAAAGTGCTAGGATTATAGGCATGAGCCACTGCACCAGGTCTCTTGTTATTTTAATCTTTCCAGAAAGACATGCTGGTGAAAACAGACCGAGGAGATTTAGTCCGTGGCTTAAGAGCTGGAAGAAGCTTCAATAGAGAGTGAACTCGTTTTTTCAGGTCTCCAGTGTTCAGGTCACACAAGTCAGGACCACGCTGGGCCTGAAAGCTTCATCTCATGTCAGTGATTTCGCACCTGGGACAGTCTCAAGGAACACTGAGCCCCTCTCCCTTCCTCTTATGGCTGCTTTGATCCTTTTTTTTTTTGAGATGGAGTCTCACTCTGTCACCCAGGCTGGAGGGCAGTGGCGCGATCTCGGCTCACTGCAACCTCTGCCTCTCAAGTTCAAGCGATTCTCTGCCTTAGCCTTCTGAGTAGCTGGGACTACAGGTACCCGTCACCATGCCCGGCTATTTTTTTTTTTTTTTTTTTTTTTTTTTTTTTTTGTATTTTTAGTGGAGACGGGGTTTCAGCATGTTAGCCAGAATGGTCTCCATCTCCGCCATGTCCGGCCTCCCAAAGTGCTGGGATTACAGGCATGAGCCACTGCGCCCCACCTGCTTTGGCCTTTCTGAGAATGATTTGTGGCAAGGAAAAAAAATGCATTTCTCTTCCGGCAGAGCTGGTTCTAAACCATGTCATGAACTTGGCCGTTTGTCTTTGTTCATGTTGTAGATCTCAGCCTCTCTCTAGGATTTTTCATCCACTGCCTTAGCTTAAATAATCAGTGTTATTCCACCAAGCGATCCATTTCTCCCTCGGAGTCTGGGGCCTGCCCCCTACAGCTGCCTAGAGCATTTCTAAAACCAAACTCAGTATCTGCCCTCGGACACTGGCTCCCACTCTCCTGCCTCTAGCTCTCCCGTCTCGGGCACGGCAGAGGCTCACAGCCCCTGGTCTCACTGCTTCAGCACACGTCAATCCTTTTATCCAGCAGCACCACACTTTTCTGCCTAAGAACTTTCTCTGGCAGCCAAAGCCCACTCAGCTCCTTGGGGCTGGCTGGAAGTGCTGGGAAATTGACATTGTCCTGAGCAGTGTTCAACCAGCATCTGACAGGAGTTGGCTTTTTTTTTTTTTTTTTTTTTTAAATAGACAGAGTCTTGCTCTGTCACTAAGGCTAGAGTGCAGTGGCATGATCATAGCTCACTATAACCTCAAACTCTTGGGCTCAAGTGATCTTCCTACGCCAGCCTCCCAAGTAGCTAGGATTACAGGAGTGTGGCACCATGTCCGGCTAATTAAAAGAATTTTTTTTTTCTCTAGAGATGAAGAGTCTCACTATATTTCCAAGGCTGATTTCGAACTCATGGCCTCAAGCAATTCTCCTACATTAGCCTCCCAAAGTGCTTGGATTACAGGTGTGAGCCACTGCACCTGGCCAGGAGTTGGCATTTAAAGACCCAGCTCATGCCTGGTGCAGCAGCTCACGCCTGTAATCCCAGCACTTTGGGAGGCCGAGGTGGGAGGATAAATTGAGTTCAGATGTTCGAGACCGGCCTGGGGCAACAAAGAGACACCTCATTTCTACTAAGAATAAAAGAAAAAAAAATTAGCCAGGTGTGGTGGTAAATATCTGTAGTCCCAGCTACTCAGGAGGCTGAGGTGGGAGGATCACTGAGCCTGGAAGTCAAGGTTGCAGTGGGCTGAAATTGCCACTTCACTCCAGCCTGGGTGACAGAGGAAGACTCTGTCTCAAAATAATAATAATAATAATAACGTAAAATAAAACAAAGACCCGTCTCCCTTGAGTCATAGGTGGCACGTGTCTTACACCTGCTCGGAGTTCTCTGTGGGAAGAGCATGAAGCATCTATTGCCAGAGGTGGTCACTGACTTCTACTTTGCCTGTGTCACTTCCCCACTCTCTGCTGACATTTCCCGGGCTTGTTTCCAAGATCAGTCACTAATACTGGAATCCCTGTCTCCGGTTCAAGAGAACTTAAACTAAGACACTTCCAAATAAGTCAGCCCTCCTGCAGAGCCCCGCCCTTGATGATTCTCCTGCCTCAGCCTCCCAAGTAGCTGGGACTACAGGTGCACGCCACCATGCCCGGCTAATTTTTGTATTTTTAGTAGAGACGGGGTTTCACCATGTTGATCAGGCTGGTTTCGAACTCCTGATCTCAAGTGATCCACCCATCTCAGCCTCCCAAAGTGCTGGGATTACAGGCATGAGCCACTGCACTCAGCCAATGTCACCTTACATTTGCTCTCCTTCCTATTTGTGTGGGCAGTGCTTTCAGAGGACCCCCCAAAGATCCCCTAACTCTTGGTCTTCACACCCTCTGTAACCCCCTCCCTTAGACTGTGAGCGAGACCCAGAGACTCACTTCTGAGGGACACAGAACACCACACCATGAAGAATGGGATGCCACTTCTGAGATTAGTTTACAAAGAGACTGTGGCTTCTTCCATAACTTCTGTCTCTTTCTCCCCTGACCTTAACAGAAGACAGTTGCATCTCCATGGAGAGACCCATGCGGCAAGAAACTGATGTTTCCACCAGCCTCTAGCCAGCAAGAAACTGTGGCTTCTGCCAACAGCTGCAGGAGTGAGCCTGAAAGCACATCCTCCCCCAGCCAACTCTTGAGATGACTGCAGCCCCAGCCAACGCCTTAATTGCCCAGGGGCCCCAGGCCAAGCAGGGCCAGATCCCTGATCCACAGAGCACAGAGGCAATGAGATAACAGATGTGCATTGTGTGAAGTTGCTGAGGTTTGGGGTAACTTGTTTTTTTTTTTTTTTTTTTAAATTAAAGACAGGGCTCTTTATGTTGCCCGGTCTGGTCTCGAACTCCTGAGCTCAAGGGATCTTCCTGCCTCAACCTCCCAAAGTGCTAGTATTATAGGCATGCACCACCATGGCTGGCTTTTGTTTTTTTGAGACAGGTTCTCACTCTGTCACCCAGGCTGGAGTGCAATGGCTTGGTCATGGCTCACTGCAGCCTCGATTTCTTGGGCTCTGGTGAACCTCCCACCTCAGTGTCCAGGATAGCTGTGACGATAGGCACGCACCACTGCACCCAGTTAATTTTTTGTCTTTTCAGTAGAGATGGGGTTTTGCCATATTGCCCAGGGTGGTCTTGAACTCCTGGGTTCAAACGATCCTCCCAGAGTGTTGGAATGAGAGGTGTGAGCCACCACACCCAGTCTGGGGTGACTTGTTACCCAGTAGTAGTTAACTAAAGCACCCTCTCACTTCCTTTCCCCCTCGCTCTTGCTTCCCTTGAACAGGAACCCCCACAAAACTTTAGTGAGTGAACTTTTGCCTTGGGCTTTGTTTTCTAGGAAAACTGTCCCTAGTGACCTCCATATTAAACCAAAGAAACAGGCCGGGCGCGGTGGCTCAAGCCTATAATCCCAGCACTTTGGGAGGCCGAGACGGGTGGATCACGAGGTCAGGAGATCGAGACCATCCTGGCTAATAACACGGTGAAACCCCGTCTCTACTAAAAAAAAATACGAAAAACTAGCCGGGCGAGGTGGCGGGCGCCTGTAGTCCCAGCTACTCAGGAGGCTGAGGCAGGAGAATGGCGTGAACCCAGGAGGCGGAGCTTGCAGTAAGCCGAGATTGTGCCACTGTACTCCAGCCTGGGCGACAGAGCGAGACTCCGTCTCAAAAAACAAACAAACAAACAAACAAACAAAAACCAAAGAAACAAAACATCATTTTCAAAGTTAGCAACGATCATCCTTAAATATGTACCAATTTCTCCCAACTGGGGCTTCTGCTTCAGACCATCTGGGTCCTGCAGAATCATGCCACGAATGCGTTGGGGTTTTTGTACCAGCTCTGCACGCAGGTGACACTGCACACTCTGGGGCTCCCTGCAGCAGCCCGCAGCAGCCCCCCAGAGAACCGTGAAGCCAAACTCTGGGCTGGAATCTGGCGACACCTGGATTCTGGATTCTCCCACCCATTTGCAGGGCTCTGCCCATCGTATGACTAAGATGACTTCTTTCCAGTGATCAGGAAATAAAAGGCTTTTGATTTTTCAGCACAGAAGAGGTGGGGATGGGGGTGGACCTGGCTTTCTGTCCCTGTTACTTTTCTTCTCTCTCACTCCCACAAGCTGCTTCTAACCACCCTATTAAATACTAGATCCCCCCACACACATCCCTCCAGGCTGAGCGGGAGTATGGAAATGAAGAGAAATTTTATGTCAAGTCGCTTTCCGGTGTGGGCTTTAATAAGATTGGGGGTAATAAGTGCCTTTGAGGATGGTTTGTGTTTTTTTCAGTGCTCTGTTAGTGCAGGCGGTGATGCTGGTTCTATTCAAGACGCACAGTGCAATACAGCTGAATATTTCCTTCCCCCCGCAAAAAAAAAAAAAAAAAAAAAAAAAAAAAAAAAAATACCTGGCTAATAGAGACTCCACAGATGACACTCACGTCTCACTCGTTTCACTCTGGAACAGGAAAAGTGACTTTAATAAAAGGAAGTGGGAAAATTCTGAAATTCTCTTTCTAGAACCTTGGATGGGACTTCCGCTTCTCGTTGGACTACCTACAGACTTCAGCAGTGGCTCAGGACAGAGGAGCAGCATTGCCACAGAAGTCCCTGCTTATATCAAAGGTTCATCTCAAAGGGCATCTCCAGGAGACAGGCGGAGTGACGCACACAGCACCAGCATGCGTTTCCCCCAGTGAGGGTGCCCACTGGATCCTCTTCGCTAATAATAACCCTTCCAACTGAGCAATTGCGCTGTGAGCACATTCCAGGGACTCATCAGGATATGAGAGGTTTTTGCCCTGCAAGCTGCTACTTAGAATTGCAGCCATTTCAGACTGGGCACAGTGGCTCAGTCCTGTAATCCCAGCACTTTGGGAGGCCAAGGCAGGAGGACTGCTTGAGCCCAAGAGTTCGAAACAAGCCTGGGGAACATAGCAAATCCTGTCTCTATTAAAAAAAAAAAAAAAAAAAGAATTGCACCCATTTCAGATTTCTTTCTTTCTTTTTTTTTTCTGAGATGGAGTCTCACTCTATGGCCCAGGCTGGAGTGCAGTGACGCGATCTTGGCTCACTCTGCTTCCTGGGTTCACGCCATTCTCCTGCCTCAGCCTCCCAAGTAGCTGGGACTATAGGCGCCCGCCACCACGGCCGGCTATTTTTTTGTATTTTTAGTAGAGACAGGGTTTCACCATGTTGGCCAGGACGGTCTCGATCATTTGACCTCGTGATCCACTCGCCTCGGCCTCCCAACCATTTCAGATTTCAAGTTGAGCTTGGCTGACTCAAATCAATTGCCAAATCTGTGCCTGTTACTTTTCTTCTCTCTCACTCCTACAGGCTGCTTCTAAACATCCCATGAAATATTAGATTCCCCACTATACACATCCCCCAAGGCTTGCCAAAGAGGGTTCCTTTTAGCTTGTCTTAGAATAATATCACCCTGGATACCTTTGTGACCTCTGGTCACTTGCTGCCCTGATTTCCAACCTTATGGCTGCACAATGCCCTGTCCACCTGGTGAGTCATGAGGTCAGCACACCTGGGGACAGATCTGGCCAGGACAGAGCTGGTCACTCAACACACATTTTCTGAGCTTCTAAGGAGTGGATTAAAACACATTCGGTGGAGAAATAGATCCGGAGAGCAGCCAAACACACACAGCCTTGGTAAGTGCACAAAAAAGCTACAGCCCCAGGGGCATGGGGAAGGTGAAGGAGCTCCCTGGGGCATCTGAACGATGGGGAATGGTGGTTTTAATTGGGGAATGCAGCTAAGGGTAAAGAGGCAGCACCCTACGTGAAATAGGCTAGGATGCGGACATCAGTGTCCGACCTGGGGTTCCAGTCCTGGTTCTGCCACTTAGGCACCTAGTGGCCTTGGGCAAGCGGCATAGCCCCTCAGGCTCAGTTCTGTGCCCTTGTAAGCAAGGACAATGCTGTCTACCACCAGCTGGGGATGATGGTCAAAATAAAATCATTTCCATAAAGTTCTCAGCACAGTCCTTCTCATTTTACACACAAGGAAAAGAAGGCTGCGAAGATGTATGCAACTGATTTGTTTGGGGCTAGAGTGCCGGTCTGTCAGTCCTTCAAATTTAGTGTTTTCCCCCAGTATACATTGCATTGAATGGTAATGGCTAACACTGAGTTCGGTGCTTAGCAAACAGGCCATTCATTAAACATAGACAGACTCATTGCCTGTTATTTCTCTTTTGGGGGCCAGAGAAATTGTGACCTTGGTGGCTCACTCACTTGCCACTTGCCACGTCCTCAGGGAAGGATGTAGATGGCATTGAGGGAAACCGACTATACCTCCTTCACCCCCACCTCCCTGCCTTCATCAGCTAAGTTGCTATGGGCACAAGCCCAGGAAGGGCAGGGGGCTGTTACAAACTTCAAACATGAAGAGTCTGAGCATGTATAAACAGCAAAGGAAGAAACGAAATTCACTGCGTCCTCTAAGCCTGTCCCCACAGCATGTTGGAGGAGGGTCGCGGGGGACATGGAAGAGGAGGAGCTTTGGAGAGAGGATGCTTGTGCTTCCCCGGCTTTTCTTGGTATTTCTATCTGGGGGTTGGAGCTTCATCACATTTGGTTCCTGGCTGACTTTATATACTAAAAAATAACTCCCTTTTGCCTGACCATGGAGAGGGACTGCCAGGGGTGAGGGCAGCCCTGTCTGAGGCCAGAGGTCTGCCCACGTGGCGGATGAGGCAGGTGTGAGGCCAGCTTGAGCATATGGACCCATTTGTCTCGGGCTGCTGGCTGCCTGCCATTTCCTCCTCTCCACCCTTATTTGGAGGCCCTGACAGCTGAGCCACAAACAAACCAGGGGAGCTGGGCACCAGCCAAGCGTCACCCTCTGTCTCCCCGCATGGGTACCAGCGTCGAGGAGAAAGAATCCTGAGGCACGGTGGTGAGATAACCAAGGACTCTTTTTTACTCTTCTCACACCTTTGAAGTGGAAGCCTCTTGAGTCAAATCAGCAAGAATGCGGCTCTTGCAGCCGAGGGTCTGGGGGGCTGTTGGGGCTGCCCAAGGCAGAGGGGCTGTGACAAGCCCTGCGGGATGATAACTTTAAAAGGGCATCTCCTGCTGGCTTCTCACTTGGCTGCTTTATCGCTGCAAGTGACAGAATGGGGAGGGTTCTGTCTCTCCTGCGTGCTTGGAGAGCTGGGGGGCTATAAAAAGAGGAGGCACTGGGCAGCTGGGAGACAGGGACGGACGTAGGCCAAGAGAGGGGAACCAGAGGGGAGAGACAGACCAGCAAGCAGTGGATTGCTCCTTGACGACGCCAGCATGAGTTCCTTCTCCACCATCAGCGTGAGCTTCCTCCTTTTTCTGGCATTCCAGCTCCCAGGTCAGACCAGAGCTAATCCCATGTACAATGCCGTGTCCAACGCAGACCTGATGGATTTCAAGGTAGGGCCAGGAAAGCGGGTGCAGTCTGGGGCCAGGGGTCTTTCTGATGCTGTGCTCACTTCTCTTGATTTTCTCCAAGTCAATGAGGTTTATCCCTTTTCCTGTATTTTCCTTTTGTAAAGAATTTGCTGGACCATTTGGAAGAAAAGATGCCTTTAGAAGATGAGATCGTGCCCCCACAAGTGCTCAGAGAGCAGAATGAAGAAGCGGGGGCTGCTCTCAGCCCCCTCCCTGAGGTGCCTCCCTGGACCGGGGACGTCAGCCCAGCCCAGAGAGATGGGGGTGCCCTCGGGCAGGGCCCCTGGGACTCCTCCGATCGATCTGCCCTCTTAAAAAGCAAGCTGAGGGCACTGCTCACTGCCCCTCGGAGCCTGCGGAGATCCAGCTGCTTCGGGGGCAGGATGGACAGGATTGGAGCCCAGAGCGGACTGGGCTGTAACAGCTTCCGGGTAAGAGGAACTGGGGATGGAAATGGGACGGGATGGACACTACTGGGAGACACCCTCAGCAGGAAAGAGACCAATGCAGAAGCTCATTCTTTCTCAAGTTTCTGCCCCAACACTGTGAGTGCCCCATGGGTGTCAGGACACGCCATCTATTGTCCTTAGCTACAGTCTGCTGAGAAAATGCTTTAAAAAAAAAAAAAGGGCCGGGCACAGTGGCTCACGCTTGTAATCCCAGCACTTTGGGAGGACAAGGCAGGTGGATCATGAAGTCAAGAGATCAAGACTATCCTGGCCAACATGGTGAAACCCCATCTCTACTAAAAATACAAAAATTAGCTGGGCATGGTGGTGCTGGGCGCCTGTAGTCCTAGCTACTCGGGAGGCTGAGGCAGGAGAATCACTTGAACCCAGGAGGCGGAGGTTGCAGTGAGCCGAGATTGCCCCACTGCACTCCAGCCTAGGTGATAGAGTGAGACTCCGTCTCAAAAAAAAAAAAAAGCAGCAACTGCCACTAGCAGTGGGAAATTCAAATAGTCATAGGGCCAAGTTATCTTTGCATGGCTAATTAGCAGCTCATGTTCCTCCCCAGAATTGCAAGATCCTGAAGGGCTCAAGTGAAATTTACTCTGATGAGTAACTTGCTTATCAATTCATGAAGTTCAGAGGGTCATCAGGCTGGGGTGGGGGCCGGTGGGAAGCAGGTGGTCAGTAATCAAGTTCAGAGGATGGGCACAGTCATACATGAAGCTGACTTTTCCAAGACAGCCAGGTCACCAAGCCAGATATGTCTGTGTTCTCTTTGTAGTACCGAAGATAACAGCCAGGGAGCACAAGGAGGGCTGGGCCTTGGGACAGACGGCAAGAGGTTCCTGCCCGCTGGGGTCTCTCTTGCATTCGTGTCATCTCGTTGTCATGGAGTTGTGATCATCCCATCCAAGCTGCAGCTTCCTGTCAACACTTCTCACATCTTACGCTAACTGTAGATAAAGTGGTGTGATGGTGGCTTCCTCGCCTCTCCCACCCCATGCATTAAATTTTAAGGTAGAACCTCACCTGTTACTGAAAGTGGTTTGAAAGTGAATAAACTTCAGCACCATGGACAGAAGACAAATGCCTGCGTTGGTGTGATTTCTTGGGGAAGAGAATTCAGGCCGATATTCCTTGTCATTTTACTCTTTGTCAGAGAAAAGAATGCTGAGGTTTTCTTATTCATTTCACCCTCCTTTTTTGGTGGGTGGTTGGGGAGGCCTCAAATTCCACTCTTAGTGCTTTTTGGTTCCGGGGGTTTTTGTTGTTTTTAGGGGGAACATTCAGAAAATGAGAGTATTAGTTAGATTTCCTCTGATACATTTCAAGAGAGTTAGGTGCTACAGCTAAGTTAATGGTACTTTTAGTTTTGAAAAGGGTAGGCAGAGTGTTGAGCTTAAAAGCTGAGCAGGCCGGGTGTAGTGGCTCACTCCTGTAATCCCAGCATTTTGGGAGGCTAAAGTGGGCAAATCACTTGAGCCCAGGAGTTCAAGGCCAGCCTGAGCAATAAAGACCTCATCTCTACAAAAAAAATTTAAAAATTAGCCAGGCATGGTGATGTGCACCAGCAGTTCCAGCTATTCAGGAGGCCAAGGTGGGAGGATGGCTTAAGCCTGGGAGGTGGAGGCTGCAGCGAGCTGGTATCATGCCACTGCACTCCAGCCTGGGTGACAGAATGAGATTTGTCTCAAAAAAATAATGAAAACCGAGCAAAGTGAAGAAAGGTTTGCCATGCAGACAAACTGCGAGTTCATGTACCTTTTGTATACTAACAAGTATTTGGAAAACAGCCATAGTCTTTGCCTAATTTGGGTCCAAAGGGCCTGGACTTGTATTTTATTAAGATAAGAGCTGCTGGAGAAGATGCAGGCTTTTTGTATCTGCTCCTGAAAAGGGTATTTGCTCTGAGCACACAACACCAGGCAATAAATTCACCTTAAACAGAGTAAGCTGTTTTCCCACCTGTTACCCCCATGGACCCCAACCTCCTCATCAGATTCTACGACACTCTAACACCCCACACCCACACATGCCCCTGTGCCTTTATTTCTGCTGTTCCTTCCCCTGGGGTGTCCTTCCTCCGGTCCTCCCGAGGACATTGTACCAATTCCTTAAGGCTCATGGGAACACTTCTTTCCTGATACCTCGTGCCTAGTAACAGTGAGTCTCTTGGTAGGCAGTGTTGCACACATAACCATTATAATAGCACACAACACGAATTGCCCATGTGCAATTGCTTGTGTCTACGTCCCTAGACTGCAAGTTCTTTGAGGGCAAATGGCCCTTCGGCACTCTCAGAGTTGATGCCCCATAAATGTTGGTCAAATTGCCTTGGTCTTGTACAGAAATTGGGAAAACAGGAAACAAAGTAGCAACTTGCTCCTTGCAGAGGCAAGAGGGAGACCCCCAGTGAACTGATGGCAAGGGGTGGAGGTCGGTGGACAGCCTCATCTAACCACCTCCAATCAAAATGTTCCCTACCTGGACTTTAAATACCAGGACAAGGATGAAAGTAAGAGAGACAGGAGACAGCACTGGCCCAAACCTGGCTCCTGAGGTCTGGGATGGTGACATGGGTTGCTAGGAGGGGAAGCAGCCCATTCCCAAGGTGTCACCGTAACACAGGAAGTTCTCATTGAATGGAACGGACTGAAAAATGACAAAAACACAAGTCATAAAACGCCCCTGGGACTTACAGAACACGTGGGGATGGGTGCAGGAGCTGAACTGGCTGCGACCACTGATGGAATGGCCACTTCTGTCACTGATGGAATGATGCCTTGAAGCAGATCAGACAGAGACAGAGGCCATGCTTCTTGCAAAACCAAAAGCAAGGGAACAAAAAGCAATGGCAGATGGCGGTGACAGAAGCTGGCCACGGGGCTTCACCTCTCCAGACCCAGCAGCAGTTTCACTTCTTCGGGTTGGACATCAGGGCAATCTGTTTGGGGGGCAAATTCCTAAACACCATGAAGAAACAGAATGGATTTCCCCATCTGCTGCTCCGGGACGCGGCTGCTAGCAGGAGGAGATGATTTCCAGAGAGGATCAGGAAGAGTGTTCATCCGAAGGGAGAAACAGACATCGGTGACTTCTGCCAAGAGCCACAGGATGAAATCCGTTCTTATTAAGGTCGCTGCCTAGTACAGAGAAGTGGACCCCCATGAATGAAGAGCCCCACTGCCCAGCTGCACAGGGAGAGCTCTGAGACTCGGAAACTATGTCCTAGTGTAATTTTCACACATCAGAAAGAAGGGGAGTAAAATACAAACCAACTATCCCTTGAAAGAAAGAGCAGCATGGAGACAAGAGGCTAAAGGAGACAGAAGACATTTTATTCTGACATGTTAGGGTTACAATGAGAACTTCCAAGTTCCAAAGGTTCAAATAAAAATAGCATTTTACAAATTAAAAAAAATACAATTTATATACACAGTGGAATTAGCTAACATCATACAAACAGTGCAAACAGAAAAAAGGAAGCTGACTGCGGCAAAGGCCAAGGTCTGCAGAGCCGTGGGGCAATACGGCACATCAACACTGCAGGGCTGGCGAGGCCACCGTGGGCCTCTCGAAAGGCTTTCCTGTCACCCAGGGTCACGTCAGTGCATAATTCTGCATCACCAATGCCATACAGTGGACTGGGTCCAGAAAGTGTCCCTTCCAGCTGGGAACTGTTAAGTTAATCAAGGTCAGCAGCAAATCATCCCTCAGCACAAGGTCCCACAGCCAGGGCCGGGGACCCACTGGCCCCACTCCCTGATCACCTCGCCTAGAAGCCATGGAACACCGAGCTGGAGACAAACACAAACACCACCTCTGGCCACCCGCAGGCTCCCCATCCGCGGATCTGCCTTACTGAGGCGCCTGATCGCTGGGTGGTGGGGCGGCTCATGGGTGAGGTGCTGAAAAGGCTGGTTTCTAATGGACAGAAATGGAAGGAGCGAGGCTCACAGTTGATTTGTCACGAGTGGAGAAGTTGTTGTCTTTGGGCTTATCTGGAAAGGGCAGATGCAGAGAGAACAGGAAACCACGTGCCTCTGCATGGGGCTGGGTTTGGGGCCTCCTTGGCAGCCGTCCAGTCAGTTTACGGGAGGGAGGTATTCGCATTCTACTGTCTATCTCTGGGCTAAACTGATGGGAACAAAATATCTGGTGACTTAAACACAACAGGATGTGCACGAGGGATGAATTCCAGCAACATTCACCAGGGCAGCCTCGAGGCAGGCAGCTGCTGATCCAGCCCTCGAGAGGCCGGGGTCCTCCTGCAGGGCGTTAGCTCTGCCAGCTCTGGGAAGGGGCAGGGAGAGGGGATGAAGTGTCTGTGACAGGTGATCACACCATTCTCCTGACTTGGACAATTGGCTTCCTTCTTAATAAAAGGAGGAAATAATGTGATCAAGCTCTGAACACTGCCATAAAACACAGCAGCAGCTGGCCAAACAGTCACATTTAAGTAAGAATTGCCTTTTGGGTCCTTGTGATGTCCTGCACTATTTCCTGGGAGTATCATCCCCGTTTCACAAGCCAGGTGCATTCTGGGAAGCAGAAACATTTAGAAGTCAAAGCAATTTTGGTCGGAGTGGTAAGAAAATGGGGAAAATGGAGGGGCCACTGTCAGCTGGAGAAAGACCTCGAAGCAGCCCTGTCTCTGGAGTGGAATTATTCCCTAGAGTGTGCTGAGTGCAAGATCTGGACCGGCAGAGCCAGGACTGATGCCCACCCCAGGGTGAAAGGCAGCCTTGGCCAAGGAGGTCGCCCAGGGCTGGGCCTGAGAGAGCTGTGCTGCCAGGGCCGGGTGCCGAGGCCCGTGGGCAACCTCCATGGTTTTGAAAAAAGCTAAACGTAAATGAAGGCCATCTTGAGCCAAAGCACGCCTGCCCCAGGGATGCCTGCTGGAACGGAGATGCCATGGAGAAGGTGGGGGAAGATAAGTGCAAATACCCGATGCCCAGATGCTCACTTTGGGGGCCTAGTCAGAGGGGGCCAGCCAGCCTGGAGAAGAATGATGTCACTGAACAATGGGGTAGTTCCCACGCTTCACGCGAAACCTTCAGGCGTGTGCTGGCAGGAAGCATCCTCGCCACGCACCCTCCCTGCGGCGCGGAGGCCCTCCTGAAGGGCCTCTGTATGTAAGCGTGGGACGGCTAGTGCAGGGGAGAAAGAGGTGTTTGTGAAGGGCGGACACCCTCTTCCTCGAGTAGGCCATCTGCTTTATCATAGCACACACCTTTCAGTGGCCACTGGCTCAGAAGTGCTTCCTTTCTACCTTGGAAAAAAATGGCACCATTCCCCAGAGTTCAGTGAAGCTGCTTTACCTAGGAGTGCCCTGCTTTCAGCTAACTTTGGTGGGTGATGCCAAGATCCTCTGAGCTCTGCCTGCTTCAGCAGGAAGACGGAGATCAAAACTTAAGGAAATGAAAAGGGTCTGGGTAGCAACGTGTTACTGGGAGACTGGGAATAACCTGCAGATGGAGAGAAAGCTGAAATGTTAAGAACTAGGGTAGATGTAAATCTGATCCTATTATCAGATTGACCATCGGGGGTTATTAGTGTGATTTTAATGCTTTGTATTTCTGGTGGGTGGTGGTTCTAAGGAAAGTCAAACCACAGGGGCAAGACCAGAGCCTCTGCCCACACCCAGGAGTAAGTACAGTGTTTCCCTTAAAACAAACCAGCGAGGATGCCGTGTTCGGAGTCCCAAACAAGGGAAGGTCTCTCTAAAATACGGAGAATTTTCTCAGTGCCCAATTCCTAAATCTAGTCATGAACTGAATGTTGTCACTGGCGTCTCCCCAGCTTTTGCCTTGGCCAAGTCCCTCTCACACATTTAAGGCAACAGCCAGGTTCTCTAGGAAAGTAGCGAAGACGGCCAGGAACACGGCTCGGAGTGCAGCCCGGGGCCCGCCTAATTCCACCTCTGCTTCTGGCTCTGGTGGGGCCAGGGGTGGGCCTGTGCCAACACTGGAGGGTGGGAACACGGGGAGCAGGAAGTGGGAAGATCCTTGCTGGGGAAGTCAGAATCTAAGTCCAAGCTCTGACGGTTCAAAACCACCCCCAGGACCTCTGACCAGCAAGGTATCCGATGACTCCAGGCTTTCTGAGTGGGTGACTGGGAATCTTCCATGCCCCGGAACAGCCCCAGCCAGTTGTGCCAGCCGGAGCGAGCATAAGCTGCCTCCCCAGGCAGCCCCGGGAGAGGGCGGGCTGGGCCGTCAGATGGTCTGGTAGTGCTGCCTCAGCCGGGCCTGCAGAAATTCAGAGGTCAGGTTGTGCCGTGTGACGATCCCGACGATCTAGGGCAAGGAGAAGGAGGCCCGAGTCACCTTCAGGGTAAAACCCACTGGTAAGAAGAGGAGTGAAAGGAGCCGGCCCTGTTAGTTTGTCACAGAATGCGGAGGCCTGGATAGTGCAGAGCCAGACACAGCTTGACTTGGATAAACAGATAATGAAGGCTCACACACTGGAGGCTGAGGGAACAAGGTTAGCTCCAAAAAGGGCTTGGGCCAGCTGGCATCTGAACTAATATGTCCTTCCACAGGGCACATTCTCAGCGCTCAGCTCCCATCATGACCAGCCTGCTTCACAGATGTGCAAGTGGTGGGGCCCCTCAAGTCTCCTGAGATTATGACCCCTGCCACGCCTCATACTCACCACCTTGCAAAGTGACCTATGGGAGTCATTTGTTACAGGTCATTACAGGGGTTCCCATGTGTCACTGTTGTTGGGAACTCCAAAATCACATCATAAACTACGTTAGGACTCTGTCAGCGTAGTTGGCAATTACATTTCAAGGGACATAAGTTAACCTACTGTAACAAAACCTGTGTAAGTACGCACTATGCATGCCAGGGTCGTGCCACATAGAAGACTGAGGTTGGGCGCAGTGGCTCACACCTGTAATCCCAGCACATTGGGAGGCCGAGGCAGGTGAGTCACTTGAGCTCAGGAGCTCAAGACCAGCCTGGGCAACATGGTGAAATCCTGTCTCTACCATAAATACAAAAATTAGCTGAGGCATGGTGGTACATGCCTGTGGTCCCAGCTACTCAGGAGGCTGAGGTGGGAGGACTACTTGAGCCTAGAAGGATGAAGCTGCAGTGAGCCGAGATCTTGCCACTGCACTCCAGCCTGGGTGACAGAGTGAGACCCTGTCTCAAAACAACAGCAACAACAACAAAAGACTGAGAGGGTGGCCTTGAAAAGTTACCACAGCTACCGCTACAGGGTAGGGACGAGGGTTTGGTTTTTGATTGCTTTTTGCTCATATGTGTTTTTGTATTTTCCTACAATGACATAATATTTGTGTAACAAGAAAATAATGAAGTTCTAAAAAGAAAAAAAGGAAAGTCTGCAGCAATCATTACTAGGTGTTTTATATCTTTGTAAAACTCAAAGTACTGTGCTTGAAATTCTCTCATCTAATGTGCGAATCCCCACACAGGTGGAGAACCAAGGAACACAAGTGGTCCCGATTCCGGAGGAAGACACAGCCTGGGGAAGGCGGGGCTCTGGCCGGAAAGGACGGCCAGTGGGACGCTGGTGCCATCTGCTGGCAGGCAGGGGAAAGGGTCCTGAGTGTGTAGAAGCCGAGCACGGTTCAAAGCCAGTGTTGGGCCCCCCTCTCCCCTCCTGGTGGGATGCCTACATTTCTGGTGAGAAGCCTGGGTGCACAAACAGCACCTGGCGGGGGATCCTTTCTCAAAGGTGGGGGCAGGGCCAGGGCCTCACTCACCTCTCCCACGGCATTCACCACGGGCAGGTGGCGCAGGCCCATCGTTCTGAACAGGTTGAAGACTTGGGAGACGTGGGTGTTGGGTGAGACGGTGAAAGGCGAAGGGTTCATGTATGGGGTGACATCCTGCAAAGAGACCGTGTGTCACCGGTTGCCTGAGACGCCAACGACGCGAAGAGGAAGCTCCACATGGGACAGGCCAGGGCGGCCCTTCTCACCACGATCATGCGCGGGTTGAGCAGCGTCAGATCCAGGTCGTGGATGTCAGGGTACCGCGGGTAGTCCTCGGCCATCTCGGCGTAGGAGAGGCGCGGCTGGCTGGCGCTCTGCAATTCCAACCCAGACACTGTCCGTGCTCGGGCAGCAGTGGCCAGTGGGGTCACCCGAGAGCCCCTTCCCTTGATGCCTGAATATGCCCAGCTCTGGGCTGCTGAGGCAGGTGGCACAGCAGCAGCAGGCACTCCAGAGTGAGAGCTCTCCAGTCAAACCCAGTCCTTGGCCAAGTCCTAGCTGTGGCACCCTGGGCCGTCCCCTGATCTCTCTGCACTCCCTTTCTTCCTGATTCATGAGACGCAAATGGTTTATTTGGACGTTTAAGTGAGAAAGCACTAAGTGGCTGGGGGGTAAATCTGTCCCCCCACCGAAAGATATGGCCAAGTCCTAAGCCCTAGTACCTATGAATGCGACCTTTCTAGAAACAGGGTCTCTGCAGATGTGACCAAGTTCAGATAAGCCCATGCTGGATTCGGGTGGGCCCCAAATCCAGTGACAAGTGTCCTTAGGGAAAGGAGAGAGGATACACAGGAGAACGCCTTGTGATGACAGCGGCGAGGATGGGGGCTGCATTCAGTCAGGAGCAACAAGGACTGCAGGCAACTCCCATGAGCTAGGAAGGGGCAAGGACAGCACCTCTCCCAGAGCCAGGGAGCGCTGCCCTGGTGACACCTGGATTTTGTACTTCTGGCCTTGAACTAGGAAGGAATAAACCGCTGTTGTTTCTCACCACCCAGCTGTGGCAACTCCTCCCCTAAGTCCACTCTGTACTTCTTGCCTTGCATTCAGCTTTCCCTACGGCACTGTTTATGGCCTGCCGGGCAGCGCCCAACCCCTCAAGCTTCATCAGGCCTGGCCTGGCTGATTTCTGCCTTGGAGAGACTTACCGACTGGCTTTCAGAGTAACAAACTCCTCGGACAAGCAGGGTGACAAGCTGTGACCGAAGGATCAGGCCGTGGAAGGTCAGAGGGCGGAAGCGCTCCTCCATGGTCCAGTCTTCACTCGGGGACTGGTCAGGGTATAGGTTGGGGTAGGGAGTGTATCTGTTACACAAAAACCAGATGCTGCCTGGGATACCCTCAGCGGGAGCGCTTCTGAGCCATGTCCCCAGCCTGCTCCCCATCCAACTTTCCCAGGAAACTCAGGAGCCACCTCACAACATCTGAGCCAAGGGTTGACCCTGCCGCTGTGTAGCCCTGCTGGCAGCGGGGGCCGCGCCCGGCTCTCACCTCCTCTCCAGCATCTGCTGCAGGAGGTCCTCCTTCTCGGCCGGCTCCTCAGAGGCGATGTGCTCATCACACATGTTCCGCAGCTCGCTGGAGGGGTAGGACTTCATGGACTGGCTCCGTTTGCGCTGCTCGCCGGCCCGGGTGAGGATGCTGGATTTCTGTGGGTGGGGAGAACACAGGCTACTGCGTGTGGGCAAACGAACACAGTAGCACTGATGGAGCTTGAGGATTTGGGTGACAGGGAGGGTCAGAGGCACATCCGGATGCAGGAACTTAAAGGGGCTGAGGTTCAAAGAAGTGGCTTGGGCTGGTGGCTCAAAGGAGCCTGAACCCTAGGACCTGGCTGCAGCCTTTGTGGTTTCATCTGGGAAGAGCAGCCTGATTCTCCAGAGGGGAACAACATCCTGTCTTGATAGAACTGCCAATCAGCGTGCCTACCCCCAAAGCCAAGGAGTGGCACACGACCCAAGTGAGGCAAGGGGATGCCCCCCTCTCCCTGGATTCTGAATCGGAATCAAGAGGAACCCAGGGCCAGTGCCCCTTCCTCCTGGTACCCGAGGGGTGTCTGCTAGACCCTTCACCTGGTCCCCACAGCACATGGGTTCTGGTCCTTCAGCTTTCTCGGCTGTCCTGAGCTTTCCTGTGGATTTCCTTCTCTTTCTTAAGTAGGTCCAAGTCCATTTCTGTTGCTGGCATCTCTAGAACTTATCCTGATACTCTCACACGTAAATAATAACCCATGACAGCTGCTGACTTGAAAAACAGATCTATCCATATGCTCACTGCGGCAGGAACGCACACACGTCTTCATGGCCTGATAAAGCTGCCCCTGCTGTCAAATCTACTCTCCCTGTCGCATGTGATGAGAACAGCGCCAACTTCCCGAGAACTGGCTGGGCAAAGCACTAAGCCGCGTGAGACAGGACCGTTTGTCTCTCACCCGCCTTTCCTCTCACGCCGTTTTCTTTACCTTGAACTTGATATTGTTGCTGATGAGCTGGTTGCCCTTCATGAACTCCTTCTCGTTGCCGCGGTTCTCTGTGACCACCGGGAAGGCGTGGTGGACCGTGGTGCGCAGGATGCTCACCAGAGACTGGATGCGGGTGTGCGGGTAGACGTAGGTCAGGTTGGGCTCCATGATGTCGCTGGCTCTCAGCCTGGGGGAGGAGGGCAAGTCATCCAGCCTCGTGACAGCGCCCGCAGGCCCCTGGGAGTAAGCTGTGCTGGCTCTCCAGCCCTGCTCAGACCACACGGGGAGCTCCCTTCTGAACTGCTCCAGCCCTCCCTCAAACCCAGTGCATTCCTTTGTACTTCTATCCCCCACACATGCTGTTCCCCGTGCCTGGAATGTCCTTCCCTGCTGTGCCAGGCTGATGGGCCCTGGCTCATCCCTCAGCTCAACAGCAACATCCCCTCACCAGGAAGTCCTGCTGCTGGTGCCCTGCAGCACACTCCACATACTGCCCCTGAACTGCTAATTGTGCTACAGCATTTACCACAACATCCGAGCCGGGCACAGTGGCTCATGCCTGTAATCCCAGCACTCTGGGAGGCCGAGGCCAGCGGATTGCTTGAGCCCAGAAGTTCGAGACCAGCCTGGGCAACACAGCAAAACCCCATTTCTATAAAAAACGTTACAAAGTAGCCAGGTGTGGTGGCACGCGCCTGTGATCCCAGCTACTCAGGAGGCTGAGGTGGGAGGATCGCTTGAGTCTGGGAGGCATAGATTGCAGTGAGCTATAATCATGCCACCATACTCCAGCCTAGGTGACAGAGTGAGATCCTGTCTCAAAAAAAAAATAAAAATAAAAATAATAATAATAATAAAAACAGACTTGGGTCCCCCTTTAGATCAGGGCACAGCAAACTGTTGCCCAGCGATCAAGTCCATCGCGCTCGTTGCTTTCCTGCTGCAATGGCAGAGTCGAGTAGTCGTGACAGACCATACGGCCCGGAAAGCTGGAAATAACCTTCCGCCTGGCCGTCCGCAGAAACAGCTTGCTGGCCCCCGAGTTATCCCGTAAGGGCCTTGCCTGCTGTCTAGACACAGGAAGCCCAGGTACCTGTGGATTAGCAGGTGGGTTATGAGGTGATTATGCCCAGAACAATCACAGCTAGCAGCAGGGCACTCTGGTGGGCACATGTGAAACAGGCTATTCTCACTCCTGGGGCTTGGCATACCCTTAAACATTCAATCACATCGCGAACTTGATCCAGAGACTTCACCTCATATCCAACCAGAATGCCATGGAAGCCAAACCACCACGAAGAGGCCCTGCCCAGTGCAGTCCCCGTGTCCCCTGCCCTGTCCTCGCAGCGCCCAGCCCATGGGCTGCTCCACATTCTCACACTTGCTTAGGAATGGGTGTGCTGCTTCTTTCAGCCCAAGAAAAGTGAGTTACTGTTTCCTACCCTAGTATCAACATTCCTTAGGCCTTCGAGCTAATACATTCTGAAACTAGGACATGAGCAAAATCATGGCCTTACTTGTCCATTTCCACCTCTGTCTCCCATTCCAAAAGCGGCACGCCTCGCAGGCCCACGTGGATATCATAAATGCCCTTATTGAAAAAGTCCCCTGTCCATTTGGCCACCTGAAACACAAAGCAAAGGCCTAAAAATAGGTCCTGTCGGGTGAACGTGGCCCTGAGCCTGACAGGCCTGGAGGGCGTGTGCTCACCATCAGTGTGACCATGATGGGAAGCCCGTAGGTGATCTCATTCGTGGACTCAATCAGGATGACCGTGAGGCTGATGGTCATGCGGACCACCCCGCCCAAGAAAGCCGCTGCACCAATCAGGGCAAAGGTCCCCGAATAGATGTGGCCCAATCCAATGTAGCTAGTGAAGGAGAACACCGAGAACATGGCTTTGAACCACACTGACAGGCTGTGGGGGGACCTACAGCTCACACTCTTGTGCCTATGCACATACGTGCATGCACGGGTACAGACACATGAATGCACGCACACACATGTGCACACACGCATACACACACGTGCACACACACACAGAGTACCTTTTTAGGACATTGGCAACTAAACGTCCAAAAGCAGCTCCACACAGTAGAGAAGGCACAAAAAGGCCACTTGGAACAGAAACGCCGTAAGTCCAACATGCAAGCAAGAAATAGAGAATGAAGAACAAGGCCAGAGTGACGGGGCTGAAAGTGCCTGCAAGGGAAGAGCCAACCTGAGTCCCACCACCGGATGCCTGCCAGGGCCCAGCAGACCTACCGGGCCCAACCACACCCCATGCCAGTTCCCCTTCCAACACTGGAGGCAGAAACCAATCTTTTGTCTGGGTGGGCATTACAAAGAAGTCCTGGTCTTGCTCGGAACGAAGGGCAAGCCTGGCTGTGTCTCAGATGACACCAATCGCCCAGGAATGGGCTGCAGTGCAGACACCCACCGTCCTGGTGGAAGAGCTGGAGGATGGCAGACTCCTGAGGGTTGAAGAAGAGTGTGGCCATGTCATTGTAGGTATCATTGGGACAAAAAAATGTCTTGATACTTGAATTCACATCTTCTGTGACCTAAGAAGAAGGAATCAGAAAATCAGTACAAGGACACCTGACTTTGAGTCTTCCAGTGGGATGTCTCCATCCGGGTCCAAAACAGGTGGCTGCACAGCCAATCAAACAGGCCAAAAACTGACCTCTACCAATGGCAGCCACACGGGCAAGTGTATTCTTTACATTCTGAATGCACAGATGAAAGAATCGGGATGAGGGCCTGTGTTCATCCACACTCATGATGAAAATGTCACTATGGCCGTGATTCACCGTGAATTTGACTCTGCTTCCTCTCCCGGTGCTAACTTTCTAGGTGATGCTGCTAGAAGCCTGGCCTGAGAACCCTACGACTGGGGAAGATGAGGCAAGTGACAGCAAGTGACTGGGAGTTGACAGGTATCTGGGGAGGAAAATCCAGGGCACTGCTTGACTGAAAGCCCCAACTCTGGTTCCAAATAGAAAAAGTCTTTGATGTTGGGGCAATTTGCTACAAAAAAAAGCGCCCGAATTTGCTGCAAAAGAAAACCAACCTCCACAATGCCTGGAGAGCAGACCCAGTCCTCCAGGCTGCCTCTCCTCCTAGACCCCATCTGGGGAGCAGAACCCAAGCAGAAAAAGAGATGATTTCTACTTCTACACATTTTAGACCTCATTTGCTTGCCATCATTCTGTGTGGGAAGATGGGATCCCTGCCGGAGGGCAAGGGTGTTTCAAGTATGCTGTTTTATTTTCTAGTTGACAGTGTACAACAATACAAGGTTGTACTTCACACCTATCACTGTGCATGTAAACAGGGAGTGTTATTACAAAGGTTAATCAAGGCTATGGGTTTCTTCTGGATGACATTTATTGATGACGCTGTGGAGATGCCCTTATGTGGACGTGATAACGATACCGGGGGTGGTTTGTATGACCCCGCCAGGTGAAATAGGCCGGGCAATACAGAGGGATGCAGGCTGCTGCGGAAACAGTACGGCACTGCTGACTGGCAGCACTTGGCACAGGTGAGCCGTGTGCAGAGCCTCAGCGTTGTGGAGTGCATGGGGGATGAGCTCAGCTGACGGCTTCATAATAGACACATGCAGTGCTTCCCAAACTGTCTGGAGGAAGTTCAGTCCTGAAGGCTTTCCGGAAAGAGTCCTGTGGTCAACTGCATTGAGAAACATCCTAGCAATTCTTGGAAATCAGTGTGTCTGCTAAAAGCTGAGCACAGGCTCCAAAATCAGATGGCTTTGTCTGTAACTCTGCCACTCTCTAGTGACCTTGAGAAGAATATTTCATTTTGTGACAATTTCCTCACCTATAAAATGGTAACAACACCTACCCTCTCACCATATATGACTAGCTGAAGGTTTCTGGTCAAGACCACACTGTGCCTCAGCTTCCTTAGCTGTAAAATGGGGGCGCAACTACTGGCCAGCACAGTGCTAGTAAGGATTAAATGAAATCATATAAAGTGCTCAGTGGAACATCTGGTACACAATAAAGACACCAAACATTTATAACACTTATGGGAATAAGGCCCCAGAAGTTCTGTAATAAAGGAACGTATTTAGGTTGGATGCTGTGGCTTGCGCCTGTAATCCTAGCACTTTGGGAGGCCAAAACAGGAGATCGTTTTAGGCCAGAAGTTCAAGACCACCCTCGGCAACACAGTGAGATCTTGTCTCTATAAAAATAAGCTGGATGTGATGGCATGCACCTGTAGTCCCAGCTACTCGGGAGGCTGAGATGGGAGGATCGCTTGAGCCCAGGAGTTTGAGGTTACAGTAAGCTATGATCACACCACTGTACTCCAGCCTGGGTGACAGAGTGAGATCCTGTCTCTAAAAAGATGAAGCAGCATATTTAATTCTTAGCACATTTGACCATAGAATCGTGTTTTGTACGCTTTAAATCACATGCATCAAGGTATCCGTCTGGTAACAAGCTGGGCTTGGGAATAACTAGTAACAGGGGTCAGCAAACTTTTCCGTAAAGAGCCAGACAGTAAATATTTTAGAGGTTGCCAGTGACATACAGTCTCTGCGGCATATTCTTTTTTTTCCCTTGACCCTTTAAGAATATATATATACACACCAGCCTAGGCGTGGTGACTCACACCTGTAATCCTAGCACTTTGGGAGGCCGAGGCAGGCGGATCACTTGAGGTCAGGAGTTCAAGACCAGCCTGGCCAACATAGTGAAACCCTGTCTCTACTAAAAATACAAAATTAGCTGGGCATGGTGGTGGACGCCTATAATCCTAGCTACTCGGGAGGCTGAGGCAGGAGAATTGCTTGAATCTGGAAGGTGGAAGTTGCAGTGGGCCAAGATTGCACCACTGCACTCCAGCCTGGGTAACAGAGTAAGACTCCATCTCAAAAAAAACAAAACAAACAAAAATATAATATATATATACACACACTATATATATATGTGTGTGCGTGTATATATATATAATATATACATATAACTAGGGACACTGAAGAGGCTGTCCTCCAAGACAAGGGCCCCAATGGGGATCTGAGAGTTTCGAGGGTTTACTGAGAAGCAACAAGAAGAGAGTACAGTTGTCCCTCAGTATTCACCAGAGATAGAGTCCAGGATCCCGATGGATACCAAAATCCAGGGACGCTCAAGTCCCAGATATAAAATGGTATATATTTGCATATAACCTATGTAGGTCCTCTTATATACTTTTAAATCATCTCTAGATTTATCATACCCTAATACAATGTAAATGCTATGTAAATAATTGTTATACTGTACTGTTTCTTCTTTGCATTATTTTTTACTGTTGTCTTGTTTTTTTTTTATGTTTTGCATCCTGAATATATGTGCTCCACAGTTGGTTTGCCCTATGTAATTCCACGGATGCAGGATGCACAAATGTGGAGGGCCGACTTCTCTTAAGAGAATGCTCACCCATCTGCAGCCGAGGGCTGGAATCACACATCTGGCTGACTCACTGAACGACAGGTGTGGCTCTCAGAGCCACTGGGTTGGACCAAAAAAACAGCGTGGGGTAGGCTCCATGGACTACCTCATGGGACCCACTTCTCGGGGAAAGCCTCTGGAAAATATCGCGCCCCCAAAGAAGGGAAAAGGAGAAGTGCAGGAGGGCAGCACACCCGCGAAGGACCCAACGCCGGGAAGAGGCAGAGGATGCTGGGAAGAGAGGAGCCTCCTTGCCCTGACACAGACATCTCTTCCTCTCATTTCAAGAGTGACTGTCATAGTCACAGAGGTGAGGAGGTGGGTGCTAAGCCTCTGGGCTGTGGCCCCTTCAGGCAAAGGGAGGTGGAAGAGTAACTGGGGCTCGGAAAGCACCTTGCTGTCAGCTTCCCAAGTGTCTGTTTCCCATGAATGTTGTTCAACAGAGAGGAGTTCCCTCTGTGACGCCAGGGCTGTTCACAGAAGTGGCAAAGACATAGGACATTTGGTGTGCACCTGCTCTTAGGTAAAAAGATGACTACAAATTCCCGTATCTCTCAGCGCTCGGGTATGGGTGTGGAAGGATGAACCCAACACATCTATCAGTTCTCAACAGAGGAAGGTCATACATTTCTGGATTCTTCCTCGTGGGTATGGGATAAAGATAGCAGGTGCACTGGGGTTACCTGGAGCTGGAATGAGTCATTACCGATTTGACTCGAGGAGGACATCTGTCGGCATTCTCCCAACACCATCGAGGCCACAAACACCACCACGGTGGTTACCAGAGACACCAGGAGGCTCTCCAAGACTCTAGGAGGCAAAGCACAGCTGTTATTAACGCCACAGAAAGAAGCTGCGGTCTCAGGAATTCAAAACATAACCCTGCCTACCCCCAACCCCAATTTCTCCAAAGAGCATTCACAGCAGCCCCTGGTCAGTCAACACGTGTGCAGAATTCATCAGTGACTTGCTGTATTCCAGCAATTTGTTTGTAAAAAGTGGGCAGTTAAAGTGGGCTGCTACGTCCACATCATCTCTCTCCAAGGAATGAATGGCTTTCCATTATAAGTCCTGGGGCGAGAAGTCTCCTGAGAGCAAGCTGCTCGGCAGGGTCATGGTGACCCTTCTGACCTTGTCATGTGTCCAAGTGGCAAGTCAGGACAGGCAGGGAGTCAACCAGTAACTCTGACATAAATTAAGCTGGCTCAGCCCTTTGGCCTGTCAAGTAGGGCAGATGCATGGCCGTGTGCAGATTCTCAGTCTTAGATGAGAAATCAAAGCCATGGAGGCAGGGTCTGCTCCTCGGGAGAGATGGCGCGGCCCACACCAAGCTCACAGAGCCACAGGAGGCTGGGGGGAGGCGACTGAGCAGATACCTGACGAGCTTAGGTTTCGGGTGCACGTTTCGCATACGGTACTTTGCAAGCCTCTTGTTCAGACAGTTGAATGTGGCTCCCAGGAGGCCCCCAATGACCCCCATCACGACGAAGAAACCCAAATCCATAGCTGTCCAGAGATGACATTTTTTATCAGAGTCAGAGCACTGAGAGAAGGGGAAAGGGAGAGGGAGAGAAAAACCATAGCAGCCATGAGAACCGGAAGAGACAGAAGAGAAGACAGAAGCAAGAGTGGGGCTGCTTCCCCGCATGGCAGAGGCTAATGGGCGAGACGTGCCCCTGGAAGCTGTACCTAGCCCTCTGCTCATTTCTCTCTGGTCCTTCACTTCACAGGAAATGTTCATGGGTCAAATTAGAAATCCTGCGGGAAAGGACAAACATACCTTAAACTCGCCAAAGTTCAGCAATCCAGGGAGCTGGAAGGAACCCCAGCTTCCAAACTGAATCCCAGAACGGAAGAAGTTGAGGGTGAAGGTGGCAGACATGGAACAAAAGAGCTAAGGGAGAGGTGACAAAACACAAGAAGGTTCAGGAGTGGCATGTCCTACTCTCTACCGACCCCTCCTCCTGGTACCCACTGCTCTATGCAGAGACCTGCAGAATCCACATCAGGGTACGGGGATCTGGTCACCCTTGCAGTAGATACACCCCAGGTGTGACCTACTCTAGATCGGGTTTTAAGAAGCTTCCATTCCAGCAGCCGACTCTACTATGACAGTCTATTTAGAGTCTTTATGGACAAGACCTTGCACCAAAAGGAAGGATCAATGCAAAGGGAAGGACGGCCTGCTCCGAGGGAGGAGACCAGTTCCAGTCCAAGCCCCATCACTTCCTGCTTTATGACAACAGCCAGTTTCACATTTTCATGGCAGGTGATTCATCAAGAGAAGATAACAAGGCCGGGCGCGGTGGCTCACGCCTGTAATCCCAACACTTTGGGAAGCCAAGGCGGGTGGATCACTTGATGTCAGGAGTTCAAGACCAGCCTGGCCAACATGGTGAAACCCCGTCCCTACTAAAAATACAAAAATTAGCTGGGCGTGATGGCAGGTGCCTACAATCCCAGCTACACAGGAGGCTAAGGCAGGAGAATCGCTTGAACTCAGGAGGCAGAGGTTGCACTGAGCCGAGATCGTGTCACTGCCCTCCAGCCTGGGCAACAGAGTGAGACTCCATCTCAAAAAGTAAGTGGGTAACAGCAGTTTGATTTGGGGTTGGGAAGGGTATTGATACAAGAAGTACAGACAGTCCAGTGTGGAGGTTATGGGCACAAGAGCAAAGCTGCTTCTGATCCAGTCGACCCCCCCAAGTCTCATCAAAACGACCATTCCATGTACCAAGTAAGGGACACCGAGTGTAATTCGGGGCCTGTGGTTAAGTCTGGGAGGTGGCTTTCACTGAAGGTCCTCCTCACCACTTTCCATGTGAGCCCTTGGTTCCAGAAGGACGAACCCTCCTCTAGACTGAACAAGGTACCCCCGATTGGGGCCCCGAAAGCTGCAGCAACTCCAGCAGCCGCTCCTGCTGATACAAAGTCTCTCTTGTCTCTGAGGAGAGGAGAGAGATGGGTTATCCAAAAAACAGCCCTCAGCCCACAAAATGCGGTTTCTGATTTCCTTATCATGAACATTTTCTCTCACACCTATGAACTGAACAGGCAGGGATCCTGAAGGGCAGGTCCCTGGGGAGGCAGCCTCTGCCGCGAGCACGCCCACCCGAGAGCCACACACCTCAGCACCAGAGTCTCTTTCAGCACGGCGGCTACTCCGCCTGGGAACAGGAGCCCCTGACCTCTGTGTTTTCTGTGATCTCAGAATCTCAGCCCCCAGCTCAGGGGCAGATTGAAGATTGGCGCGATCACTGCTGTACCATGTTCCCACCAGATCTTCCTTCCAGAAAACCCCAGCATCCGTAAAAACATCAAGGTGCCTTCTGGGTATGTGCCAGACTTGCAGGAATACAAAGAGAAAGTGGTCCGTGACTCTAAACCGGGTCTCTGATTGAAAGAGCCTTACAAGGCATGCAGGTCAGTAACACACACATCTGATACAGGGCTAAAAAGTCTACCACGTTCTGACCCAGGAGGGTGGCTGACCAAGTGAATCACTGGGGAATACAAAATGCCTTCCTAAGAATATGCCTGTCTGAGGCCTTTCTTGGTTGGGTTTTTAATCTGGGACCATTTTCACTTGCCTGAGATGCGTCTAGGGCTTATGGCATGACAAAATAAAAGTCACGATGCTAGCCTGGTGCTTTGGCTTACTTCCAGAAGAAAAGTTCAAAGCCCGCCCCCTTCTCCTACAGTCGGGTTTCCCAGCAGGGGACACTATGCCAGACTAGAGCAAGTATTGAGTCTGACTCGCAGTGCATGAACATGTTGCTTCCAAAAAAAAACCAATTTCTAACCTTTCCATACCTGTCGCTACGGAAATAGGGGAAGTTAAACTGGATCTTCCTTAAGGAGATGCTCTGAAACTAAAGCGAGAGAAAAAGAGAGCCATTAAACAGCCTATTCATATAACCAAATACCACCTGTACCCCAGTAATTGTGCAAAAAGAAAAAAAAAAGAGAGAGAAAACAGGTCGGGGCAGTCTAGAAGGACTGAAACTGCGGGAATCCACAGCACTAGGGGAGGCCCCGCTGCTTGAGCACACCTGGGTAAGTGTGCTGCAGGAAGGAAAGTCCAGAACAGCGACTTGGGAAAAAAGGAGGCCGGGCATGGTGGCTCATGGCTCACGCCTGTAATCCCAGCACTTTGGGAGGCCGAGCCAGGCGGCTGATCACCTAACGTCAGGAGTCAGAGACCAGCCTGGCCAACATGGCAAAACCCTGTCTCTACTAAAAATACAAAATTTAGCCAGGCATGGTGGCATGTGCCTGTAATCCCAGCTACTTGGGAGGCTGAGCCAGGAGAATCGCTTGAACCCGGGAGGTGGAGGTTGTAGTGAGCAGAGACGGCACCATCGCGCTTCAGCCTGGGCGACAGAGTAAGACTCCGTCTCGAAAGATAAAAATAAAAAAACTTGGGAAAAAGGAGATCCCCACCCCCATCCTTGGGAGGAGCTTATTTTTCCTGCCCCCAAATTTCTAGGACCTTCTGAAATCCCATTTTGTGCAGAGTCAACAAGTCAGAAAGGAAAAAGGGAAATGGCTGAGCTGAGGGAAGGGGACGCAGAAGCCATTGCGGAAGACTGAGTCCGCTCTGCTCGGCAGCGCCAGGAAGAGAAGGGCCCAGAGCCTGTGCTCGGTTGGCTCCACAACAGCGCACGCTGATGCCCACTCCTTCCACCCCTTGGCTCACTTCTGCCAGATCTGGTGCTTGAGGCAGTAGCAGGAGAGAGACCAAAAGACGAGCTCTGGAAGAAAGAATCTTCCCTCCTTCACCTCAGAGACTCCCAACTACAGTAACTCCCTCTTCTCAGGACTGGAGAGGGAAATGACTGTGAGTGACAGTTCACAGGGAACGGAGACTTCTCCAACGCAGCCCAGGGATCTGGAGCAGCCCCTAAGAACGGGAGTTTTGAGGTCTCGAGCTAGTGCCTCAACATCTCTAAACCTCAGTTTCCCCATCTGAGGATGGGGGTAACAGCAACAAATCATTGAAGGTGGCTATGAGGAGAAAGCAATTAGTATATGCAGCGTCTGGCACATAGACCACTCAACCAGCAGCTGTTATTATGACTGTACCACGCCAGCTAGAATCAGCATGGAACTGTGCCTAAAACCATGTCAGTCGATGCTTCAGGCCTCTTGGATCTGGCGGCACTGAGATGATCCACCCCACTCTCTATGGAGGCGCCTGGCGATGGCTGCAGAAGCATCCAGTGACTTTCATCTGCCTGTGTCCTAGTTTTTCTCTCTGTCACATTTCTGCTCCTAGGGTTCAGCAGGGCATCATTAAAACTTCCAAGTATAAGTTATGCCCTTTCCTGAGAGACAGACACATGGTTTTCATATCAAGCCAGAATGGCACCAGGTTCCAATGTGATGTCAGGGGTGTCCGAATGGATTTGGCCCAGTGTAACCACAGACCTCCCACTAGGCCTGTCCGGGAGGCCCACACCCTCTCCCACCTTACCTGAGGGAGGCCAGCTCCTACCACTGAACCACTGTGGATCATGGGGCCTTCCTTCCCCACAAAGAGCCCTGGGCAGGGTGAAAAAGGGAAGACCATTGGTCAGCGCAGAAATGTCCCTGGGTCAGGAGACCTTGGTTACAAAACCTTTTCTCCTGACAACTAAACAGAGATGATCCTAAGACTTTATAAGAGAAAGAACCAAATTCCCACCAAATAAGCTCCATTTCAAGTCTTGCTAGAAGAAAAAACACTCCACATTCTAAATTGCGTGTCAGCAAATGATAGCCTGTGAGGCCAGACCACCAGCTCCCCACCTGGTTTTGCACAGCTTGAGAACTAAGACCGGCTTTTACGTTCTTAAGTGGACAAATGTAAATGGTTACATAAGCATCAACATAAGAGCTTCCATTCTGATTCTTGGCCCACAAAGCCTGAAATATTTACTATCTGGCTGTTGACACAAAAACGCTTGCTAATTTTGACAGAAGCGAATTCCACAAACTAAATTCCAAATTCCAAAACTGAAGAGTGTGTTTGTCAGGTATCTGAATGGTAACATACGAACAGTGTCTCAGTGTCTGCATTTTAAAAAGAGCCCATCAACAAAAAGTGCAAACATTAGTTGTTTGAGGCTGGGCCCTGCAGTTCAAATCTAATAACTGAAATATGTCATGCTTCTTGTCATCTCTGCCCCTTGAGTATTTGAAGGATATAAGTTGGACCCTTCTTACCTCCGGCCACACTGAACAGCACTCCAAGGACCTTGCAGAGCAGGGTCCGTAGACGGACGATTCCTGGCACCTTCACACCATTCAGATAGCATTTGACCTCGGGTATCCCAGAACCTGCTGCCACGGGCTGATGGAGTAGAGCAGGTACACCCATAACTCAAAATCCATTGGTTCTCTGGTTTACCCTCAACAACCTGGGCAGCGGAAGAGGGAGAGCTGGCCACCTTCATTAGCAGCGTCAGCATCACCTGGAGGGCTTGCTAAACCACAGCTGCTGGACCCCATGCCAGAGGATCTGACTCAGGAGGTCTGAGGAGCAATGGGAGGACTTGCCCTTTTTTTTTTTTTTTTTTGAGACAGAGTTTCACTCTTGTTGCCCAGGCTGGAGTGCAATGGCGTGATCTTGGCTCACTGCAACCTCCGCCTCCCGGGTTCCAGTGATCTCCTGCCTCAGCCACCCGAGTAGCTGGGATTACAGGCATGTGCCACCATGCCCGGCTAATTTTGTATTTTTAGTAGAGACAGGGTTTCTCCACGTTGGTCAGGCTGGTCTTGAACTCCCGACCTCAGGTGATCCGCCCGCCTTGGCCTCCCAAAGTGGCCGGACTTGCACTTTTTAAAGAAAAATAATTTCAACTTTTATTTTAGATTCAGGGATTGCATGTGCAGGTCTGTTACAAGGGGATATTGCATGATGCTGAGGTTTGGGATACAAATGATCCTGTCACCCAGGTAGTGAGTATGGCACCCAACAATTTTGTTTTCAGCCCTTTCCCCTTTTTTTCCTCCCCGCAGAATCTGCACAAGTTCCCTGTGAATCAGCATCACCTGGGGAACCTCTCAACAATCAATTCGGGCACCTCAATTCCACAGGTTCTCATGTGTCAGAACTGGGGCTCAGGTAGATTTTTTTAAAAAGTTCTCCAGGGAATTCTAATGTACTGCCAAGGCTGAGACCCACCATCCTAATCTGGATTTTTCTTTAATCTCACCAGAGGGTGAAACCTTTATCTTCAGTGAACAAGAGGCCACTTTCTGCAGGAATCTGCATTCTCAGTTTCCTGACATTCTGGAAGGAGGTGGGGAAAAGGGGTGTGGGACTCTAAAACCTCCTAAGCGAGCAGGTGAATCAAACCACCTCACCTCAATGAGAACAAGGAGGCTTGCCAGGAAGACAAAGGTGAGGTTAAAACCCAGGAGTTCAAGGAGAGAGAGAGCGAGGCAGCCTTTCTGGCTACACTCCTCCACCGCTGCAGAAACTGGGTTAAGGAAACTGTGTTGATCAGCCGAGGGGTGTCCCCGTCATCACGTGAGAGGGTGCAGCTACTTCTCCTTTGGATCATGCTGTCTGCTGAGTGCACTTTTTCTCCATATATAAAATTTTTTTGAAAATGCCTGAGATGACTGGGTGCGATGGCTCATGCCTGTAATCCCAACACTTTGGGAGGCTGAGGCAGGAGGAACGCTTGACCTTAGGAGTTGGAGGCCAGCCTGGGCAACATAGTGAGACCATGTCGCTACAAAAAATACAAACATTAGTTGGGCATGGTAGTACATGCCTATGGTCCCAGCTACTCAAGAAGCTAAGGTGGGAGGATCGCTTGAGCCTGGGAGGCTGAGGCTGCAGTGAGCTGTCATTGCACCACTGCACTCCAGCCCAGGCAACAGCGTGAGACCTCATCTCTTAAAAAAAGAAAAAAAAAGCTGGACACGGTGGCTCACGCCTGTAATCCCAGCACTTTGGGAGGCCGAGGTGGGCAGATCACGAGGTCAAGAGATCGAGACCATCCTGGCTAACAAGGTGAAACCTCATCTCTACTAAAAATACAAAAAAATAGCCGGGTATGGTGGTGGGCGCCTGTAGTCCCAGCTACTCGGGAGGCTGAGGCAGGAGAATGGCGTAAACCCAGGAGGCGGAGCTTGCAGTGAGCTGAGATCGCGCCACCGCACTCCAGCCTGGGTGACAGAGCGAGACACTGTCTCAAAAAAAAAAAAAAAACAAAAAAATTGTTTGAGATGCCTTTGACATTAGGAAATACTTCAAACATTACAAAAAGTAACAAATACCCATACCCTCACAACCTCAGCTTTAACAAATCTCCACAATGTGCCATATGTGCTCCAGGTATTTTTGAAAAATAAAACATTCGATATCATTTTAAGAAACAAAATAAAAAAACAGTTTTCCTTCCTCTCTCCCCTGGGAGAAACCATTAACCTGAAATTATTGTGCATATTTCAAGCGTCCATACTGTTGTACACGGCACTTCTATATTCTGTAACTTCCTCTTTTTTTTTCTGAACATTAAGTTCTTGAGAATTAGCCATGTTGATACACACAGCTCTGTGGTTCGTTCACTTTCACTTCTTTTTTTTTTTTGAGATGGAGTCTTGCTCATCGCCCAGGCTGGAGTGCAGTGGCACGATCTCGGCTCACTGCAAGCTCCGCCTCCTGGGTTTACGCCATTCTCCTGCCTCAGCCTCCCAAGTAGCTGGGACTACAGGTGCCCGCCACCTCGCCCGGATAATTTTTTGTATTTTTTAGCAGAGATGGGGTTTCACCGTGTTAGCCAGGATGGTCTTGATCTCCTGACCTCGTGATCCGCCCGCCTCGGCCTCCCAAAGTGCTGGGATTACAGGCGTGAGCTACCACGCCCAGCCTCACTTTCACTTCTGTCTAAAATTATTTTTGTTTTATAATCTACAGAAATGACATGATGTCTAAAATGATACCACATGAATGTGCCACAATTTTTCCATTCCCCCATTTGGTGATTCCAGCTTTTTGCTATCACAAAGCTATAATCATCACCTTCGCACATGTCTATGGTTGACGTCTGTAAGAGGAATTTATGAGTCACAGGAATGTGCACCTTCCTTTTTCCAGAGGTTTACTCAGTTTTTCTCTTTTGAGAATTCCAGTTCACATCTTTTGCTTGTTTTCCTTCTATTGGACCATCTGTTTTTTTTTTTCTGATTGTGTTGCAGGAGTTCTTCCTGTGTTCTTTTTTTTGAATCAGTCTTACTCTGTCACCCAGGCTGGAGTACAGTGTTACAATCTCGACTCACTGCAACCTCTGCCTCCTGGGTTCAAGTGATTCTCCTGCCTCTGCCTCCCAAGTATCTGGGACTAAAGGTGCACACCACCACACCAGGCTAATTTTGTATTTTTAGTAGAGACAGGGTTTCACCATGTTGGCCAAGCTGGTCTCGAACTCCTGACCTCAAGTGATCCGCCTGCCTCGGCCTCCCAAAGTGCTGGGATTATAGGCGTGAGCCACCATGCCCAGCCACTTCCTGTATTCTGGATACTAATTATCTGCCTCTTAACTGCATAGTAAATAACCTCTTTCAGGCTGTGGACTTGTTTTTCACTTTATGGTGCTTTATTGTTGTTATTTTGGAGTTTTTGTCTTTATAAATAAAATATGTACTTTGATGTGGTCAAGTTTATTGATTTTTTTTTTTTTTTTGAGACAGAATTTCGCTTTTGTTGCCCAGGCTGGAGTGCAATGGCATGATCTTGGCTCACTGCAACCTCCATCTCCTGGGTTCAAGCAATTCTCCCGCCTCAGCCTCCGAAGTAGCTAGGATTACAGGCACCTGCCACCAAGCCCAGCTAATTTTTTGTATTTTTAGTAGAGACAGGGTTTCATCATGTTAGCCAGGCTGGTCTTGAACTCCTGACCTCAGGTGATCTGCCTGCCTCAGCCTCCCAAAGTGCTGGGATTACAGGCATGAGCCAATGCACCCAGCCATTGATGTTTTTTCTTATAATCTGTGCCTTTTGGAGTTTTAAGAAATTATTCCCTACTCTTGACAACATATAGTCTCCTAAAGTTTTGTTTTGCATATTTACATTTTCATCTGGAATTTATCTTTATTTATAGTATGAAATAGGAATAAAACTATTTTTCCATATGGATCACCCATGTCCCAGAATCTTTTTTTTTTTTTTTTTTTTTAAAGACAGGGTCTTGCTATGTTGCCCAGACACAGCCATGGTGCACTACAGCCTCAAACTCCTGGGCTCACCTCCTAAGTAGCTGGGACTACAGAGATGTGTATTTTTATTTATTAAATAACACAGCATCTTTTATTAAACCATTCAGCACTCCCTCGCAGATGTGTAGTATTAACTGTCATTCACCAAAGTTCCACGCATGTGAGGGCCAGTTTCTGCTTCTCTATCATTTTCCACTGTCTAGGTATTCATACACCAATGTGACCAATTTCAATGACGGAATCCTCAATTGTTTGACTTTTTAAAAATTTTTCCTAACTCCCCAAACTTGTAAATTTTATAAGACTTGATATCTGGCAGCGTCAGGTCCACCTTCTTGTCGTTCAGAACTGTACTGACTCACTACTTTTGGCCCTTTACTCTTCTACACAAATTTAGAAAGAACTTCTGAGTCCCACAACAAATTCTACTGGAATTTTGATTGGAACTACATTAAATTTACAGACTGGGGAGTACAGGCATCTTTGTGGCATCTGTAATCTCATCAACCACAAACATGGGTATGTCTTTGTTTACTAAAGTCCTGCTTTTGCATCTTTCAGTGATCATTAAAAATATTAAAGCTGAATAGCTAATAAGTGGCCCTTCTAATATCATGTTTACTGTTAAACCCATTTCTACGTAAGAAAGAACCTTGGTGACCACTGAAGTCCACGAACACCAGGAACCGTGAAAAGGATACATGACTGTACCACTCCGAACTTGAGTTGGGTGAAGAGTCGCACAAAAAAGTCCACAAAGAGACCCACCTGTGAAGAGCAAGAGATCTATCACACAGCCTTATTTCCAAGTGTAGTACGGGTGTGCTTCTCTTGAAGGCATCTCCTCCTCCACTGCATGTATGGAGGCTGCTCACTAGCCAGCAGCACGTGAATGCACAGCAGAAAAGCTCAGAAGGACGAGATCCCTTCTCCAGCCCAGTCCCACTGCCCCTCCAAAGAACAAACGCAGAGGGTACAGCTAAGTTGAGTGAAGCAATGGAAAACAAAGAGGGAAGCAGGTGCAGAAAAAGATGTGAGACCAAGAAAGACTACTGACACAGGGGTGTCCAATCTTTTGGCTTCCCTGGACCACTTTGGAAGAATAATTATCTTGGGCCACACATAAAATACACTAACAATGGCTGATGAGCTAAAAAAAGAAAATCTCAAAAAAACTCATGTTTTAAAAAGGTGTATGAATCTGTGTTGGGCCATGGGTTGGAAAAGCTTGCTTTAAAACACAACATTCATTTAGGTGTATGCGATTTTTGAATGTTTGTTATTAGCAGGTTCTATTTTATAAGTCATTATTTTGACTTAAAATCATCTTTTTTTGAGATGGAGTCTTGCTATATTGCCCAGGCTGGCCTTGGGCCTTGAATTCCAGGGCTCAAGAAATCCTCCTGCCTCAGCCTCCCAAGTAGCTGGGACTACAGGCACACCCCACTGTGCCAGGCTAGACTTATAACCATCTTACATTCCATAGTTACTCTGGGTAGAGAAAACAACCAAATTCCAATATTCCGCTCTCCAAAGTGCTCAGGGCTTAAAGGAGAACTAGAAAGACTTCTAAATTTATGGATTCAGGATCAAAGGCTTCTTGCCTTTACCTCTGGCCTTCCCTCAAGCCAATGCCTGGAGGCTTTTTAATACTGAAGCCATAAGTGGCCACACATCAGTGGACAAGAGTTGGGAGTCCTATATCATAAAGGCAGGACTGCCTTCCTAAAATACAAAGGTAGGAGGTAAGGTTGCTTCAGCTTGAGTAACCCTTATCTGAAATGCTTGGGACCAGAAGTGTTTTGGATTTCAGAATTTTTTTTTTTTTAATATTTGCATTATACTTGTTCAACATCCCAAATCCAAAAATCTGAAATCCAAAATCTGAATGTGCCAATGAGTATTTTCTCTGAGCATCGTGTTGGCATTCAAAAAGTTTTGGATTTTCCAGCATTTTGGATTTTCTGATAAGGGACACTTAACCTGTAGTACTGACAAGTGACAGCTCCAAAGAGTTTGATAAAACAGTAGCACAAACACTAACAACTAGAGGTCTAATGACTAGCTTATCATAGAGAAATCTGCAACCAGAAACATATGTAGCAAAATAAATACCTTGAGATTTCTATTTTTTTTTTTTTTTTTTTTTTTTAAGGAGACAGGGTCTCCCTGTGTTGCCCAGGCTGGTCTCAAACTCCTGGGCTCAAGCAGTCCTCCTGTCTCGGCCTCTCAAAATGCTGGGATTATAGGTGTGAGCCTCCGTGCCTGGCCCAACACCCTGAGATTTAAATAAAACAATAAATCAACCCAAGTTCCCCCAAAATGGTATCCATCAGAATGTCACTGAAGAGGGCTTCTGAGTGCCATTAGTCTTACCTAGTAAGACGTTCCTTTACTTGTGGATTTACTATAGTAAAAATTTGATGCACGCCATGAAAATAAAAATCGTGATTGGCCTCTGTGGCTACATTATACCAAACACATGTGTACATTTTCCAGGCATATCATGTCAAATTAAGTAGGACGCTTGTGGCCAGTTCAAGAGAAATGTGGTAAACAGGCTGCTACTGAGAACAGATACCCTATCCCAACACTGTACTGACCGGAATCAGATGTGACATGGATCATTTTGACTGATGCTGATTTTTCCAGCTTCTCCTCTTCATATTTAACAATGTGAAGTCAGCAGTTCTGGTTCCAGACTTTTTGCTATCCTCATCTTTGGCCATGTTTCCAATCTTGCCCTGTGATTCACCTGTGTAGCTGCTGCCTCCACCAACTCTGTTCATATGGGCATATCCCTTCACGCACAGCTGCTGGCTCTGTCTTCTAGATAACGTTAACGACATGCAGGGAGGAGCCCAGGATAGCACCATGAACTCCCTGCATGAAATCAAGATCTGTGTTGTGCCATCCTGTTCACTGGCACACTGTGCTAAATGAAGGGCATGACATTCACAGTTCTGTACCCACGACTTTGCTTTTTCCCTAAAGAGTGATCTCATGCCTGCCTAGAGTCCTAACCAGTAGGGAGGCTGAGGTAGGAGGATCACCTGAGCCCAGGAGGTCGAGGCTGCAGTGAACTATGATCACACCACTGTGCTCCAGCCAGGGTGACAAAGCGAGACTCTGTCTCTATTTAAATTAAAAAAAAAAAGTGACTTTAACATCCATTATTTACTCTACCCAATGCGTTGTCTACCCACTAGGGAGACAGTTATCTAGTTGATCAGGTAGATTATAGATTATGATCCATAATCATATCACAAAAGATAAGTCCTGCCCAAACCTTTGAGCGCTTCAAGAGCACCATCGTCATGTGTCTCGCTTTCATTTCACAAAGCAAAAACCAGGGAAGTATGGAAAACTGTGCCACGATTATTCATTTTAAAAAAAAGAAGGGAAAAAGAAAAGGTACTCTTGATTATAATGATAAGTGTTATAGTGTTATAATGTCATAAATGCTATAATGACAAATAACAATGTTATTCACCAGGCCAGGGCTTTCCCTGTGAGTCCCTCCAGCCCCCTGGCCCACCATCCCTCCAGGCCCTGCCTCCTCACCAGGCCAGTGCAGACTCCAATGGCAAACACCACCATCCACTTCACCGCCTCATACCTTCGACCTTTCTGTTAACACAGGAAAAGAATGATTCAGTTTACAGGGTTATGGTGGCAGATGGGAAGAAACATATCTTGGCCAACCAGTTTTAAGCTAAATTCCACATGGAGAGCAGGCACAGTGAAGATGATGTTGAGATTTCAGGTGCTTTACAATGCAAAAATGATGGACTCCTTAAGAGGCTGGGCAAGCTGCACTGACAGGGGGAACTCTGGTTGGCAGGATAAAGGCCTAGGGAATAAATGCCAACATAGGCTTACCTTGCAGATAGCATGGGTTTGGTTCCAGACCACCACAATAAAGCAAATATCACAATAAAGAGAGTCACATGAGTGTTTTGGTTTCCCAATGCATATAAAAGTGATGTTTACACTATATTGTGGTCTATTAAGTATGCAATAGCATTATGCCTACAAAAATGTACATACCTTAATTAAAAAATACCTTATGGCTAAAAAATGCAAACAAAATGCATGCTATTGGAAAAATGGCACCTTGCTCAACACAGGTTGCCACCAACCTCCAGTTTGTAAAAACTGCAGTATCTGCAAGGTGAAATAAAGCAAAGTGCATAAAGTGAGGTCTGCCTGTATCGCAGGAAAAGGTTCAAAAAACAAGGGGTAAAGATACTTACTGGGAACTTTAGAAGAGAAAAAAAATGCCATGTTAAGACTGATTTGATCCCCAGAGATGAAGAATTGTTAAGACTCACCTTATTATCCATGGTCTCCAAAACTTCCAGGTAAGGGTCATTGATACAGCGATCATAATCCAAACTCTGAAAAAGAGGGAAAGGTGAGTCAAAAAGTCACATCAGGTGAGAAGACCTGCAAAGGGACACACCTCTGGGTTCCTGCTACTCAACATGTGGATGGGCAGAGCAGTGGTACCTGCAGCACCCAGGAGGAGCTGGTTCAAAATGTGGAATCTGGCCAGGCACGGTGGCTCACGCCTATAATCCCAGCACTTTGGGAGGTCAAGACAGGTGGATCACCTGAGGTCAGGAGTTTAAGACCAGTCTAGCCAACATGGCGAAATTCCATCTCTACTAAAAATACAAAATTAGCCGGGTGTGGTGGCGTGCACCTGTAGTCCCAGCTACTTGGGAGGCTGAGGCAGGAGAATCTCTGGAACCTGGGAGGCGGAGGTTGCAGTGAGCTGAGATCGCACCACTGCACTCCAGCCTGGGTGACAGAGCAAGACTCTGTCTCAAAAACAAACACAAAAACCAAATGCAGAATCTCAGACTTCCTGCAGCCCTGCAGCCCTAGGTGGCTCAGATGCACATTACAATTTGAGTGGTGTTGCTTCAGGTCCACACTTCATGCTTTAGGATAAGTTTTAAATTACCTATTTTTAAACTTCCTGTTTTGGCAAAATATGTAAAGACCTTTCGCTATCATGAGCTTTATGAAACTTACTCCATTAGATGTGAACAAAAGTTTCAGTTCGTCAGAACCAAATTAATTTAGAATGTCAATTAGTTATAATTATCTTTTGTAGTTAGTGTCTATGGAAATGAGGTTAGTCACAAGACAAACTAATATGGAAAGTATTTTTAAAAGCAACTTCAACTTTATGTTAGGAAGAGGCACTGACTCAGCTTGGCTCTCGGCTCCTAAAACTTCTACATCTAAAGCAGCGTCCTTTATAACATGCATCACAGAACACAGAAATCCTGCAAGCAACTTGCAGGTATGCCACAGACATTTAGAGAAACAATTCAAAGGAAATCATTTTAGTTGTCTTGTTAGAGAAGCAGCAGTCTGGGCCGGCCGCAGTGGCTCACGCCTGTAATCCCAGCACTTTGAGAGGCCGAGGCAGGAAGATCGCTTGAGGCCAGAACTTCGAGACTAGCCTGGGCAAGATGGTGAAACCCCATCTCTACTAAAAATACTAAAGCTAGCTGGGAGTGGTGGAGCACACCTGTAAACCCAGCTACTCAGGAAGCTAGGGCAGGATAGCTGCTTGAACCTGGGAGGCAGAGGATGCAGTGAGCTGAGATCATGCCACTGCACTCCAGCCTGGGCAACACAGTGAGACTCTTACCTTAAAAAAAAAAAAAAAAAAAAAGACGCAGCAGTTCGGCAACAAAGAAAAATGGTTGGCCATGAGCTCTCCTTCCTACAACCTGTTCCTACCCACATCAGCTGGACACTAGCCGGGCTGCAGCCACACTCCTGGACAACAGTTTCACGTCAGCCAAACACATGTGATGAATGACAATTTATTCTATCTATATGTATACCTATAGTCCAAATTCCTTTTTTATGAGTCCTGGAGTACCAACAGGTGACTGAGTAAATCAATTATACACCCAAATATAGAAGACTATACACCAATAAAATGATTATAGTTAAGTCTATATAGAAAGATATGGAAAATGTCCAAAAATTATTTAGCAAAAGAGTAAGATGCAATTAAAAAATAAAAATAAAGCAGAATGGAGAATTAAAAGTATAATATCCTTTTTTGATTAAACAAAATTAGGATTATTTGCACATCAGCATTCATAATGGGAAAGCATCCGTGAGGTAGTGCTCAAGAGGATATTTGTTTCTGGGTGTTGTCTGAAATTCTCATGGCACAAATGGTGTGCTTTTTTATATTTAAAAAAATGATCAGCTGGGCACGATGGCTCACGTCTATAATTCCAGCACTTTGGGAGGCTGAGATGGGTGGATCCCTTGAGGCCAAGAGTTTGAGACCAGCCTGGCCAACAAGGCGAAACCCCGCCTCGACCAAAAATACACAAATTAGCTGGGCGTAGTGGCACACACCTGTGATCCCAGCTACTAGGGTGGCTGAGGCAGGAGAATCGCTTGAACCCAGGAGGTGGAGGTTGCAGTGAGCTGAGATCGCGCCACTGCACTCCAGTCTAGGTGACACAGTGAGACTCTGTCTCAGAAAAAAAAAATCTTTTTTACTGATCAGAAAACAAAAAAACACAGTGAGGAAAAATGTACTTTTAGAAACCAGACTCATCCATAAGTGATTAAACATATATGCACATACATATATATTGTAGCGGCCAACGGGACAAGTTTCCCCTTTCACCCTCTGAAGGTCTGCTGAAAGTGAACTGACAAAAGGCAGATTAATGGGAGCAAAGGCATCCAGACTTATTTAACATGCATTGCACAGGGGAACTGCAGAATGATTACCCAATAACCCCAGTGAGGTACAGATGCTTCTATACTCTTCTTCAGAAGGGAAGGGGAAATGGGGATGTGGAAGGAAATAATTCTTAGTGGGGAATGAATGGATCTGGGAGGCAGACATTATCTTGTGAATGATTCTCTTTGGAAATTGAATGCGACAGTGAACAAACAGCGGTTTGGGACAGTTTGGCCGGGGTCTAGGTATGTTGTTTGGTCTTCAGTCTCCTCTGTGAGATGAGTTTTAACATTCCCTGGTTAATGACATTTCAGGAAAGGGATCAAAGACAACTGTGTTCCTCTTTGGTAGGTCCAGTTTCTAGGTAGATAAGGGAACGGCAGAGAAGAGCCTCATCCTGTGCTTTGGGAGAGACAAAGCGTGTTTCTTCAGTTCAGCAAATGATACCGTATTTCCAGGTATCATTTTCTGAGCCCCAACAATACACATACACACAAACAGACTTTGTCTTTTTTCCTTTTTTTTTTTTTTTGTTGTTGAGCCGGGTATCTTTTGTTTGCTAACAAGATGAGTGGTGGCTGGGGTCCCTTAGATAGCTTCAGAAAAGAGGCTGGTCACCAGAAAGACCAACGCAGGATCAGCGGGGTGGGAAACCCATCCCTCCAGGGAGGAGACTGAAGCTGAAGGTTAAGCTGATCACCAAGGGATGGTGATGTAATCAATCATGACTGCATAAAAAAAGCTTCCATAAAACTCCAAAAGGACACGGTTCAGAGAGCTTCCGAATAGCTGACCATTTGGAGGTTCCAGGAGGGTACTTGTGCCTGGAGAGGGGATGGAAGCTCCGTGCCCCCCTCCCACGTTCCTTGAATCTCTCCATCTGGCTGTTCTTCTGTATCCTTTGTGATATCCTTTATTAATAAACTAGCAAATGTAAGTAGCGTTTCTGTGTTTACTGACCTGCTCTAGCAAATTAACCAAACTCGAGGAGGGAGTCCTGTGAACCTTCAATTCACTGCCAGTTGCTGAGAAATAACAGATGACAACCTACTACTCTCTTTCTTTTTTTTCTTTCTTTCTTTTTTTTTTTTTTTTTTGCCATGGGGTCTTTCTCTGCTACCCAGGCTGGAGTGCAGTGGCATAATCTCGGTTCACTGCAACCTCCAACTCCTGGGCTTAAGCCATCCTCCCACCTCAGCCTCCTGAGTAACCGGGACTATAGCTGTGCACCACTATGTTCAGCTAATTTTTAAATCTTTGTGGAGATAGGATTTCACCATGTTGCCCAGGCTGGTCTCAAACTCCTGGGCTCAAGCAACCTGCCTACCTTGGCCTCCCAAAGTGCTGGGATTATGGGCGTGAGCCACCACGCACAGCCTGCCTACTACTTTTAACTAGCATCTGAAGTGGAAACAGTCTCGTGGGACAGAGCCCTCCACCTGATCTGACGTCATCAGGTAGACAGTGTTGGCACTCAACTAGAGGATACCCAGCAGGTGTCTGCTGGAGACTGCTTGCTAGGTGTGTGGGGAAACAACCTCCACATATGGGTGTCAGCAGTGTTGCGCGAGTGGTGCCTGAGAGCAGAGGAGAAACGATACTTGGTTTGTCCTTATCTCTTGCCTTCATCCCAAATATGTATGGAAATTACTGGTCCATTACTTGATTGATGGTTCTATCGAATAACTCTATGGTTCCATAAACATTTAGAAGGTTTTTAGATATCAGCCGGGCGTGATGACTCACGCCTGTAATCCCAGCACTTTGGGAGGCCGAGGCGGGCGGATCACGAGGGCAGGAGATCAATGAAACCCCGTCTCTACTAAAAATACAAAAAAAAAGTTAGCCGGGCGTGGTGGTGTGTGCCTGTAGTCCCAGCTACTCGGAGGCTGAAGTAGGAGAATGGCGTGAACCCAGGAGGCGGAGCTTGCAGTGAGCCGAGATGGTGCCACTGCACTCCAGCCTGGGCGACAAAGCGAGACTCTGTCCCAAAAAAAAAAAAAAGGTTTTTAGATACCTAGAATAGGCAAATCTATAGACAGAAAGGAGATTAGTGGTTGCCTGGAGTCAGGGGCAAGGAGGACAGGCAGTGGCTGCTAATGAGTGCAGGGTTTCCTCTCGGGTGATGAAAATATTCTAAAACTGACTGTAGGAATTAGCTGGGTGTGGCAGCTCACGCCTGTAATCCCAGAACTTTGGGAGGCCAAGGCGGGCGGATCACCTGAGGCCATGAGTTAGAGACCAGCCTGACCAACATGGAGAAGCCTCGTCTCTACTAAAAATACAAAATTAGCCTGGCATGGTGGCGGGCGCCTGTAATCCCAGCTACTCGGGAGGCTGAGGCAGGAGAGGGAGGCAGAGGTTGCAGTGAGCTGAGATCACAACATTGCACTCCAGCCTGGGCAACAAGAGCGAAACTCCATCTCAAAAAAATAAAAATAAAGGCCGGGCGCGGTGGCTCAAGCCTGTAATCCCAGCACTTTGGGAGGCTGAGACGGGCGGATCACGAGGTCAGGAAATCGAGACCATCCTGGCTAACATGGTGAAACTCCGTCTCTACTAAAAAATACAAAAAAAAACTAGCCGGGCGAGGTGGCGAGCACCTGTAGTCCCAGCTACTCGGGAGGCTGAGCCAGGAGAATGGCGTGAACCTGGGAGGTG